GATCCGCAAACACCGCGTGTTCAGGGGGGAATGAATGACTCGTGGCTTCCACAGTTTTCCTTTAGGTGTATATCATCGTTCCATTACTATTACTACTACTAGCTTGTTTGCCCGTCCTAGAATGTCTGTGAGCCAAGAATGTCTGTTTGTGTGTCCCGCACGTGACGTCACTCCACATGCCGCACCCCCTCCTCATTAATATTCATGAGCGGGTGGATTTTTACACTCACCCAGAAGGTCGAGCGGAAATATTTTTTTTCGCAAATTCGCGACAAGTTTGACGTTTCTTTATTGAAAGTGAATCTAATAAATAATTCTACGCAGCAACAAAGTGGGTTCGGTATCTTTATTTATTTCTTCAGCATTTGAGACAAAAGGTAAGTCTAATTTATGCTTCTACATTATGGTAAAATAGTAATTTCTCGGTGATTTTCCAGATATTGTATCGATTTCCAATGTATTTCAACCCCAGCGACCAAAAGCAGAAGAGAATAAAGTATCAGAGCAGTGAATTTGAACAAATTGAAGACCATCGTTAGCAGGAAGTGTTACTACCTAGGCCAAATTGCCCGAAACGACCACAAATACCAGCTATTAAAGCAAATCCTGGAAGGAAAAATCGAAGGGAAAAAACGACCAGGACAGCCAAAAACGACATGGCTCAGTAACATCAAAACATGGCTACAATTAACAACAGCACAAACTCTACACGCCGTGCTAGACCGGGACCAATATCATCGTGAAGTCGCACACGCCGTTAGGCAGCACTAAAGAAGAAGAAGAAGGTCAGTTATATACAGTGCTACAGTGACATGAAGTGATGTGTTTTATGACATACTTTTGTGTAAGATTCACTACAATTAAATTGACACAAGATACAATTATACTCTGCTCAATTGTTTCGTAAATATTACAGCTTCCGTCCTCGGACGGGCAAAGAAGCTAGTATTTTATATTTGAATTTGTACAATGTTTTGATACCCCATTTGGTGGAGGTAATATTACATTTCAAATAAAACTTGTAACTGAAGATGATTGAACAAATGGAAGGCGCATAATATGGCCTCAATGCGTTACGCATTTTCCTATAACGATGCATTTTACCTTGGGCTGCCTCACTGCGTCTCAAGACGCTTTCAGGAGGGTCCTGCTACTTTGGGATGTTTGGCCAATTCCAGTAATGAGAGTTTGGCTTTGCGTGGGAGGAAAGTGGAAAACCCGGGGGAAACTCTCCACACATTGGAGGGGGTGACACTCAAATATCTGCACAGATAGATTCAATAATTCATGGCTGTGCTGCCATCTCCTGGCCACCTCGCAGCCAGCAACAACCCTGTTTACTCCTACGCAGCCTCCCACTCAAGCAATAACCAGGCTTAGCCCGGCTGGCAGTGTAAGACACATCCATCATGCAAGTGGAGAATGTAGTAAACTACATACGCCTCCTCCACATACATATCCGCTTGTCCACGGAAAACATGCGTGTGTTTGTTACATCCCATCAGTCGCACGGCCTTTGAGAGGGCATCATTTCAGCCGCATTCCTTCAATATAAGCAAACAACTGTGGACCGGGGTTTTTCCCCCCAGATACAGATCGAGCAACTGTACAGCACTGCTACACAGGCACGCGTGACTGCCGGCAATACATTGTCATGTCGAAAGCGGCCAAAGGTCCCCTCCGATTAGCACAGTTGGCTACGTACGGTGCGAAAGAAATTCAACATACATACAGTTAACATTGAATCGATGCTGCTGGAATTATTCACTCTCAAAAGACAACTGATATGATGTGTAAACCATTTATTTTAATTTGTTTTACGTGGAGGAACAGAGACGAGCGCTGTATCTACGTGCGTTTGTTACGATTTTCTGTGATGACGGAAAGTCCAGCCTTGGGACTCGAGCAACACCGGGGAAATCCCAGACCACAAACCCCGTACGGAGTGGAGTCGGTGGAGTGGAGTTCTGTGCAATGGTTGATGTGGTGTGGGGTGGTGTGGCATGGTATGCAGTTTAATGTCGTGGTGTAGAGTGGATTAGAGTGGTCTGCAATGTAGTGGTGTAGAGGGGATTAGAGTGGTCTGCAATGTAGTGGTGTAGAGTGGTGTGTTGTGGAGTGGTGTGTTGTGGAGTGTAGTGGTGTAGAGTGGTGTGTTGTGGGGTGTAGTGGTGTAGAGTGGTGTGTTGTGGAGTGTAGTGGTGTAGAGTGGTGTGTTGTGGAATGGTGTGGTGTAGAGAGGTGTGTTGTGGAGTGTAGTGGTGTAGAGTGGTGTGTTGTGGAGTGTAGTGGTGTAGAGTGGTGTGTTGTGTAGTGTAGTGGTGTAGAGTGGTGTGTTGTGGAGTGTAGTGGTGTAGAGTGGTATGTTGTGGAATGTAGTGGTGTAGAGTGGTGTGTTGTGGAGTGTAGTGGTGTAGAGTGGTGTGTTGTGGAGTGTAGTGGTGTAGAGTGGTGTGTTGTGGAGTGTAGTGGTGTAGAGTGGTGTGTTGTGGAGTGTAGTGGTGTAGAGTGGTGTGTTGTGGAGTGTAGTGGTGTAGAGTGGTGTGTTGTGGAGTGGAGTGGTGTAGAGTGGTGTGTTGTGGAGTGTAGTGGTGTAGAGTGGTGTGTTGTGGAATGGTGTGGTGTAGAGTGGTGTGTTGTGGAGTGTAGTGGTGTAGAGTGGTGTGTTGTGGAGTGTAGTGGTGTAGAGTGGTGTGTTGTGGAGTGTAGTGGTGTAGAGTGGTGTGTTGTGGAGTGTAGTGGTGTAGAGTGGTGTGTTGTGGAGTGTAGTGGTGTAGAGTGGTGTGTTGTGCAATGTCGTGGTGTAGAGTGGTGTGTTGTGGAGTGTAGTGGTGTAGAGTGGTGTGTTGTGGAGTGTAGTGGTGTGGAGTGGTGTGTTGTGGAATGTCGTGGTGTAGAGTGGTGTGTTGTGGAGTGTAGTGGTGTAGAGTGGTGTGTTGTGGAGTGTAGTGGTGTAGAGTGGTGTGTTGTGGAGTGTAGTGGTGTGGAGTGGTGTGTTGTGGAGTGTAGTGGTGTAGAGTGGTGGGTTGTGGAGTGTAGTGGTGTAGAGTGGTGTGTTGTGGAGTGTAGTGGAGTGGAGTGGTGTGTTGTGCAATGTAGTGGTGTAGAGTGGTGTGTTGTGGAGTGTAGTGGTGTAGAGTGGTGTGTTGTGCAATGCAGTGGTGTAGAGTGGTGTGTTGTGGAGTGTAGTGGTGTAGAGTGGTGTGTTGTGGAGTGTAGTGGTGTAGAGTGGTGTGTTGTGCAATGTCGTGGTGTAGAGTGGTGTGTTGTGGAGTGTAGTGGTGTAGAGTGGTGTGTTGTGGAGTGTAGTGGTGTAGAGTGGTGTGTTGTGCAATGTCGTGGTGTAGAGTGGTGTGTTGTGGAGTGTAGTGGTGTAGAGTGGTGTGTTGTGGAGTGTAGTGGTGTAGAGTGGTGTGTTGTGGAGTGTAGTGGTGTAGAGTGGTGTGTTGTGCAATGTAGTGGTGTGGAGTGGTGTGGTGTGGAATGGTGTGGTGTGCAGGGGTGAGGTCTGGAGTGGAATATAGGGAATGGGGTGGAGTGGTTGGTAGTGGAGTGGTGTTGAGTAGCGTGGTGAGCGTGGTGAGCAGGGTGAGGTGTGAAGTGGAGTGCTGTGCAGTGAAGTGGTGTAACATGGAGTGGATTCGTGTGGAATGGTCCAGAGTGGAGTGGAGTGCTGTGGAGTGTAGTGGTGTAGAGTGGAGTGGAGTGCTGTGGAGCCGTGTAGAGTGGAGTGGAGTGCTGTGGAGCCGTGTAGAGTGGAGCGCTGTGGAGCCGTGTAGAGTGGAGCCGTGTAGAGTGGAGTGGAGTGCTGTGGAGCCGTGTAGAGTGGAGCGCTGTGGAGCCGTGTAGAGTGGAGCCGTGTAGAGTGGAGTGGAGTGCTGTGGAGCCGTATAGAGTGCTGTGGAGTGGAGCCGTGTAGAGTGGAGTGGAGTGCTGTGGAGCCGTGTAGAGTGGAGTGGTGTGGAGCCGTGTAGAGTGGAGCCGTGTAGAGTGGAGTGGAGTGCTGTGGAGCCGTGTAGAGTGGAGTGGTGTGGAGCCGTGTAGAGTGGAGCCATGTAGAGTGGAGTGGAGTGCTGTGGAGCCGTGTAGAGTTGAGTGGTGTGGAGCCGTGTAGAGTGGAGCCGTGTAGAGTGGAGTGGAGTGCTGTGGAGCCGTGTAGAGTGGAGTGGTGTGGAGCCGTGTAGAGTGGAGCCGTGTAGAGTGGAGTGGAGTGCTGTGGAGCCGTGTAGAGTGGAGTGGAGTGCTGTGGAGCCGTGTAGAGTTGAGTGGTGTGGAGCCGTGTAGAGTGGAGCCGTGTAGAGTGGAGTGGAGTGCTGTGGAGCCGTGTAGAGTGGAGTGGAGTGCTGTGGAGCCGTGTAGAGTTGAGTGGTGTGGAGCCGTGTAGAGTGGAGCCGTGTAGAGTGGAGCGCTGTGGAGCCGTGTAGAGTGGAGTGGTGTGCAATGCAGTGTAGTGGTGTAGAGTGGGGTAAAGTGGAGTGGTGTTGAGTTGTTTGGTGTGAAGTGGTTAAGGGGCCGTCCATAAATGACGTCACGCACCTAGGGCGGGGGGGTCAGACATTTGTGACGATGTGTGACGAGGGGGGGGGGGGTGGGAAATGTGACGTCACATCAAAATGCGCAACTTTAAATAAATATAGACAACACGTTCTACTTAATTAAATATACTTTTTAATAAATGTTTTCTCCTCCAACATCAGAGTGCAGCGCCACATTAAATACGCACTACAATGACAATAGTTTAAAGCGATTTGAAGCATATTTTATTTTCAAAATTAAAAATATGGTTTGGGGGGGGGGCAGAGCTGTGTGACGTCATATTTGAGGGGGGGCGTCTGACTTTTTGTGACGCCGTGTGACGAGGGGGGGGGGGGGTAAAAATCGTCCAAAATCGCGTGAGGTCATTTATGGACGGCCCCTAAGTGGTTTAGAGTGATGTGGGATGGAGTTGAGTTGTGTGGATTGGAGTGGGAGCGGAATGGGGTGGAGCGGCGCTGAACTTCTCTATTCGGTCCGGATGTCACGGCTCTGGGCTCTGTGCGGGGCAGCATTTCCTATTCTTAAAGCGACCGTGTTTGTCTCTCTCTAACCGTGCCCCTCTCTCTCTCTCTGCATGCGCCTCTTCCAGTGTCTCCCTTTCTGTGTCGCTCCTGTATATCCCTGTCTCTCTCCCCGTGTCTTTCTCTCTCCGCGTATCTCTCTGTGATGATGGATTAGTCACGCGCTGCGTGGGAGGCGAGTAACGCAGTGGGTCACTTCCTCGTGCTCAGTTCGCCGGGGCACGCTCTGCAGGTAGGTCCGCTCCGTGAGATGTCTTCGTCGGGGAGCTCAGTGCGTGTACTCGCTAGCGTGTACACGCACACGGGTATACGGGTTTGTGCACGGCACACATTCACACGGGTCTGCGTACATACACACCCACGCGTGTACACGGCTTCGTGTACACATTCACACGGCACGTGGTCGATGTGCACTCCGTGGTGCAGGGTGCAGCGCGCGCTTCGTGCGGCGTGTCTCGGTGCGGCTCCACGAGGCTCGGCTCCATGCCGTCCTTTTGGTGGTTCACGGAGGGCGCTTCCGCGCTGCCGCTCTTCGTGGTGTGCTGGACCACCGTCACCTTCGCAACCAGCTACCTCACGGCCGCATTGCGCGGGGACGTGGATCCCATACTGCCCTATATTAGGTACAAACTCATCTGCCTGCGCACTCAGCACTTACTCGCCTGCCCACTCACTCGCCTGCCCACTCACTCGCCTGCCCACTCACTCGCCTGCGCACTCACTCGCCTGACCACTCACTCTCCTGCCCACTCACTCGCCTGCGCACTCACTCGCCTGGCCACTCACTCGCCTGCCCACTCACTCGCCTGACCACTCACTCGCCTGCGCACTCACTCGCCTGCCCACTCACTCGCCTGCCCACTCACTCGCCTGGCCACTCACTCGCCTGCCCACTCACTCGCCTGACCACTCACTCGCCTGGCCACTCACTCGCCTGCCCACTCACTCGCCTGCGCACTCACTCGCCTGCGCACTCACTCGCCTGGCCACTCACTCGCCTGCCCACTCACTCGCCTGACCACTCACTCGCCTGCCCACTCACTCGCCTGGCCACTCACTCGCCTGCCCACTCACTCGCCTGCGCACTCACTCGCCTGCCCACTCACTCGCCTGCCCACTCACTCGCCTGCGCACTCACTCGCCTGCCCACTCACTCGCCTGACCACTCACTCGCCTGCGCACTCACTCGCCTGGCCACTCACTCGCCTGCGCACTCACTCACCTGCCCACTCACTCGCCTGCGCACTCACTCGCCTGGCCACTCACTCGCCTGCCCACTCACTCGCCTGCGCACTCACTCGCCTGGCCACTCACTCGCCTGCCCACTCACTCGCCTGACCACTCACTCGCCTGCCCACTCACTCGCCTGCGCACTCACTCGCCTGCCCACTCACTCGCCTGCGCACTCACTCGCCTGCCCACTCACTCGCCTGCGCACTCACTCGCCTGGCCACTCACTCGCCTGCCCACTCACTCGCCTGCCCACTCACTCGCCTGCGCACTCACTCGCCTGGCCACTCACTCGCCTGCCCACTCACTCGCCTGACCACTCACTCGCCTGCCCACTCACTCGCCTGACCACTCACTCGCCTGCCCACTCACTCGCCTGGCCACTCACTCGCCTGCCCACTCACTCGCCTGCGCACTCACTCGCCTGCCCACTCACTCGCCTGACCACTCACTCTCCTGCCCACTCACTCGCCTGGCCACTCACTCGCCTGCCCACTCACTCGCCTGCGCACTCACTCGCCTGCCCACTCACTCGCCTGCGCACTCACTCGCCTGGCCACTCACTCGCCTGCCCACTCACTCGCCTGACCACTCACTCGCCTGCGCACTCACTCGCCTGCGCACTCACTCGCCTGCCCACTCACTCGCCTGCCCACTCACTCGCCTGGCCACTCACTCGCCTGCCCACTCACTCGCCTGCGCACTCACTCGCCTGGCCACTCACTCGCCTGCCCACTCACTCGCCTGCCCACTCACTCGCCTGCGCACTCACTCGCCTGGCCACTCACTCGCCTGCCCACTCACTCGCCTGCCCACTCACTCGCCTGACCACTCACTCGCCTGCCCACTCACTCGCCTGCGCACTCACTCGCCTGCGCACTCACTCGCCTGACCACTCACTCGCCTGCCCACTCACTCGCCTGCGCACTCACTCGCCTGACCACTCACTCGCCTGACCACTCACTCGCCTGACCACTCACTCGCCTGCCCACTCGCTCGCCTGCGCACTCGCTCGCCTGCCCACTCACTCGCCTGCGCACTCACTCGCCTGCCCACTCACTCGCCTGCGCACTCACTCGCCTGCCCACTCACTCGCTTGCCCACTCACTCGCCTGACCACTCACTCGCCTGCCCACTCACTCGCCTGCGCACTCACTCGCCTGCCCACTCACTCGCCTGCGCACTCACTCGCCTGCCCACTCACTCGCCTGCCCACTCACTCGCCTGCGCACTCACTCGCCTGCCCACTCACTCGCCTGCGCACTCACTCGCCTGCCCACTCACTCGCCTGCGCACTCACTCGCCTGACCACTCACTCTCCTGCCCACTCACTCGCCTGCCCACTCACTCGCCTGCGCACTCACTCGCCTGGCCACTCACTCGCCTGCCCACTCACTCGCCTGCCCACTCACTCGCCTGACCACTCACTCGCCTGCGCACTCACTCGCCTGCCCACTCACTCGCCTGACCACTCACTCGCCTGCCCACTCACTCGCCTGCCCACTCACTCGCCTGCCCACTCACTCGCCTGACCACTCACTCGCCTGCCCACTCACTCGCCTGCGCACTCACTCGCCTGACCACTCACTCGCCTGCGCACTCACTCGCCTGGCCACTCACTCGCCTGCGCACTCACTCACCTGCCCACTCACTCGCCTGCGCACTCACTCGCCTGCCCACTCACTCGCCTGCCCACTCACTCGCCTGCGCACTCACTCGCCTGGCCACTCACTCGCCTGCCCACTCACTCGCCTGACCACTCACTCGCCTGCCCACTCACTCGCCTGCGCACTCACTCGCCTGCCCACTCACTCGCCTGCGCACTCACTCGCCTGCCCACTCACTCGCCTGCGCACTCACTCGCCTGGCCACTCACTCGCCTGCCCACTCACTCGCCTGCCCACTCACTCGCCTGCGCACTCACTCGCCTGGCCACTCACTCGCCTGCCCACTCACTCGCCTGACCACTCACTCGCCTGCCCACTCACTCGCCTGACCACTCACTCGCCTGCCCACTCACTCGCCTGGCCACTCACTCGCCTGCCCACTCACTCGCCTGCGCACTCACTCGCCTGCCCACTCACTCGCCTGACCACTCACTCTCCTGCCCACTCACTCGCCTGGCCACTCACTCGCCTGCCCACTCACTCGCCTGCGCACTCACTCGCCTGCCCACTCACTCGCCTGCGCACTCACTCGCCTGGCCACTCACTCGCCTGCCCACTCACTCGCCTGACCACTCACTCGCCTGCGCACTCACTCGCCTGCGCACTCACTCGCCTGCCCACTCACTCGCCTGCCCACTCACTCGCCTGGCCACTCACTCGCCTGCCCACTCACTCGCCTGCGCACTCACTCGCCTGGCCACTCACTCGCCTGCCCACTCACTCGCCTGCCCACTCACTCGCCTGCGCACTCACTCGCCTGGCCACTCACTCGCCTGCCCACTCACTCGCCTGCCCACTCACTCGCCTGACCACTCACTCGCCTGCCCACTCACTCGCCTGCGCACTCACTCGCCTGCGCACTCACTCGCCTGACCACTCACTCGCCTGCCCACTCACTCGCCTGCGCACTCACTCGCCTGACCACTCACTCGCCTGACCACTCACTCGCCTGACCACTCACTCGCCTGCCCACTCGCTCGCCTGCGCACTCGCTCGCCTGCCCACTCACTCGCCTGCGCACTCACTCGCCTGCCCACTCACTCGCCTGCGCACTCACTCGCCTGCCCACTCACTCGCTTGCCCACTCACTCGCCTGACCACTCACTCGCCTGCCCACTCACTCGCCTGCGCACTCACTCGCCTGCCCACTCACTCGCCTGCGCACTCACTCGCCTGCCCACTCACTCGCCTGCCCACTCACTCGCCTGCGCACTCACTCGCCTGCCCACTCACTCGCCTGCGCACTCACTCGCCTGCCCACTCACTCGCCTGCGCACTCACTCGCCTGACCACTCACTCTCCTGCCCACTCACTCGCCTGCCCACTCACTCGCCTGCGCACTCACTCGCCTGGCCACTCACTCGCCTGCCCACTCACTCGCCTGCCCACTCACTCGCCTGACCACTCACTCGCCTGCGCACTCACTCGCCTGCCCACTCACTCGCCTGACCACTCACTCGCCTGCCCACTCACTCGCCTGCCCACTCACTCGCCTGACCACTCACTCGCCTGCCCACTCACTCGCCTGCGCACTCACTCGCCTGACCACTCACTCGCCTGCGCACTCACTCGCCTGGCCACTCACTCGCCTGCCCACTCACTCGCCTGGCCACTCACTCGCCTGCCCACTCACTCGCCTGCGCACTCACTCGCCTGGCCACTCACTCGCCTGCCCACTCACTCGCCTGACCACTCACTCGCCTGCCCACTCACTCGCCTGCCCACTCACTCGCCTGCCCACTCACTCGCCTGGCCACTCACTCGCCTGCCCACTCACTCGCCTGCGCACTCACTCGCCTGCCCACTCACTCGCCTGCGCACTCACTCGCCTGCCCACTCACTCGCCTGCCCACTCACTCGCCTGCCCACTCACTCGCCTGACCATTCACTCTCCTGCCCACTCACTCGCCTGGCCACTCACTCGCCTGACCACTCACTCGCCTGCGCACTCACTCGCCTGCCCACTCACTCGCCTGCGCACTCACTCGCCTGCCCACTCACTCGCCTGCGCACTCACTCGCCTGCCCACTCACTCGCCTGGCCACTCACTCGCCTGGCCACTCACTCGCCTGCCCACTCACTCGCCTGCGCACTCACTCGCCTGACCACTCACTCGCCTGCCCACTCACTCGCCTGAGCACTCACTCGCCTGCCCACTCACTCGCCTGCCACTCACTCGCCTGACCACTCACTCGCCTGCCCACTCACTCGCCTGCGCACTCACTCGCCTGACCACTCACTCGCCTGCCCACTCACTCGCCTGCCCACTCACTCGCCTGCCCACTCACTCGCCTGCCCACTCACTCGCCTGACCACTCACTCGCCTGACCACTCACTCGCCTGCCCACTCACTCGCCTGCCCACTCACTCGCCTGCGCACCACCTGCCCACTCACTCGCCTGCCACTCACTCGCCTGCCCACTCACTCGCCTGCCCACTCACTCGCCTGCCCACTCACTCGCCTGCCCACTCACTCGCCTGCCCACTCACTCGCCTGCCCACTCACTCGCTACCCACTCACTCGCCTGCCCACTCACTCGCCTGCCCACTCACTCGCCTGCCCACTCACTCGCCTGCCCACTCACTCGCCTGCCCACTCACTCGCCTGCCCACTCACTCGCCTGCCCACTCACTCGCCTGCCCACTCACTCGCCTGCCCACTCACTCGCCTGCCCACTCACTCGCCTGCCCACTCACTCGCCTGCGCACTCACTCGCCTGCGCACTCACTCGCCTGCCCACTCACTCGCCTGCCCACTCACTCGCCTGCCCACTCACTCGCCTGCGCACTCACTCGCCTGCGCACTCACTCGCCTGCCCACTCACTCGCCTGCGCACTCACTCGCCTGACCACTCACTCGCCTGCCCACTCATTCGCCTGCCCACTCACTCGCCTGCGCACTCACTCGCCTGACCACTCACTCGCCTGACCACTCACTCGCCTGCCCACTCACTCGCCTGCCCACTCACTCGCCTGCCCACTCACTCGCCTGACCACTCACTCGCCTGGCCACTCACTCGCCTGCCCACTCACTCGCCTGGCCACTCACTCGCCTGGCCACTCACTCGCCTGGCCACTCACTCGCCTGGCCACTCACTCGCTTGCCCTCTCACTCGCCTGCCCACTCACTCGACTGTGCGTGTGAGCAGTGACACTGCTGGGCGGCCCCCGGAGAGCTGCGTGTTTGGACTGATGTTGAGCATGTCAGCGCTGACAGGTACCACTAACCTCTCGCCCCCCCCCGCTCACCACTCACAGACAACCACTCACTACACCGCTGACCACTCAGACACCACTCGCAGACATTTACGACCACCACCACACTGAGGTCGCGTGGCTTTGAAGGGAGAGCAATGAGCGGTGTTCCCATGTGCACTGTGTTCCAGGGACGTGCGGTCAGGGGAGGCAGGGGAGGCAGAGCCTCACCTGCCATCCTCCAATGAAAATAGCTGTTACGAAAAAAATATATATAATAAAATAAATATTAAGATGTTTCCACTGATCTGTGTTATAAATGTCATTTCTGTACGATTCCAATAATTTTGATAGTAAAAATCGCCAAATTTGCGGAACTCCGCTGCAAATACAGGAAGAGACGAGAATTCCCTCAGCAAAACACTACACCATGGGGCCCGTCGCATCTCTGACCAGCACCACCTAGCCAGTGATTTGGAGCACGTACACCAAGCCCTCAGGATGAACGGATACTCGGACCGTACAATCCGCAAAGCTGTCTCCCCAGCCATGCGGAGACAACCTTCTGAGGATCCAACCAAAACCATCACCTTAACGTACATAACAGGGGTTACCAAAAATATTTCCCAATTCTTAAACAAACACAAGATCCAGGTTCGTTTCAACACAGTACACAAAATCCGTGATTTGATCCCATCTGTAAAGGATGTGATTCCTGACATGCAATACCGGGTGTCTACAAACTGAGTTGTGGTTGCAGCAGCAGTTACATTGGGGAAACGAAACGACATGTCTCGGACCGCGTGTTCGTGAACACAAGGCAGATCTGAAACACGGCAAGACCAATACCTCTGCCGTTGCCGATCATTGTTTTAACGCTGTGGGCACACACGAAATGTATTTTTCCAAGACGGAGGTACTCTGCAAACCTACCGGCTACCTTCAGAGATTTATTCATGAAGCCATCCAGATATTTTAACACAGACACAACTTCAACCGAGAGGATGGGTAAAAACTGAGCAATCATTGGAAGGACGTTATTAACCAGGTAAAGTCTGAACTGACTGTGATGTTTCCATCCTACCTGCCTATGTCAGCTGTTATTTCTGACTCTCTGTCTCTCTCTCTCTATGCCTCTCTCTTAGATCTCTCATGCTCACATGTCCTTTGCATTGCACTCTCATGCCTTTGGATTGCACCACTCTTCGATTTCACGTTAACATGCTAATCTCTCACATTAACATAGCCACTTCCGTGCCCTCGTCTAGGAGACCGCTCTCCTATCTTACAGTTACATGCTAATTTCTCACGTTAACATCACTAGCCCCGACCACTTCTTTATGACCCTTGGGCTACACCCATTTCAAACCTTTTCAAACAGTCTGCCTCAGCAGCAGACCATGCTTTCCCACCTGATGACGGACGCTTGTGTTGCGCCAGAAACGTCGTGATTTATTTAATTTTATACCTCCGTGACTTCACCGAAAGAAACAAAGAGTAAGAGACGAGAGATAAGGCAGCGACGAGCTCAGCATCCCCTCTGATTGCGCAACCCCTCAGTAACTGGATGGAGTGCGGGCAATAAGTGAGTGCCTGTTACTATCTCAGTATGTCACCAATGTAATGTTTGTAGACCCCTTCATTTCATGTCCTCGCCTTCCATACTCCAGGTAACTTATTTCACGTATGTGTATAAAGATATTTAGGCTCGCTGGTCTCGTCATGAAACTGCAATGAAAAAGCACCAGGGGAGGCAGCTATCACATCTGCCTCACTGAGGGGGACGTGTCTAACACGCCCCCTCAGTGTGTGAATCTGGCTCTGACACGAGCCAGTGCCTCCCCAGCCATTGACCTCACCGCACGTCACTGCCGTGTCCCCCGTGTCTCCCCGCGTGTCTCCCCGCGTGCAGCCGCTCTCACGATGTTCGTGCGCTACCGGCTGGTGGCGTGCGCGACGTGTGGCCGCAGCTGCGCCGTCTTCGTCAACCGCACGGGGTTCGCCATCGGCCTCATCAGCTGCCTCGGGCTCCTCGTGATCGCCAACTTCCAGGTGATGACGAGGTGGTTGTGATGGGGGTGATGACGAGGTGGTTGTGATGGGGGTGATGACGAGGTGGTTGTGATGGAGGGTGATGACGAGGTGGTTGTGATGGGGGTGATGACGAGGTGGTTGTGATGGAGGGTGATGACGAGGTGGTTGTGATGGGGGTGATGACGAGGTGGTTGTGATGGAGGGTGATGACGAGGTGGTTGTGATGGGGGTGATGACGAGGTGGTTGTGATGGGGGTGATGACGAGGTGGTTGTGATGGGGGTGATGACGAGGTGGTTGTGATGGAGGGTGATGACGAGGTGGTTGTGATGGGGGTGATGACGAGGTGGTTGTGATGGAGGGTGATGACGAGGTGGTTGTGATGGGGGTGATGACGAGGTGGTTGTGATGGGGGTGATGACGAGGTGGTTGTGATGGGGGTGATGACGAGGTGGTTGTGATGGAGGGTGATGACGAGGTGGTTGTGATGGGGGTGATGACGAGGTGGTTGTGATGGAGGGTGATGACGAGGTGGTTGTGATGGGGGTGATGACGAGGTGGTTGTGATGGGGGTGATGACGAGGTGGTTGTGATGGGGGTGATGACGAGGTGGTTGTGATGGAGGGTGATGACGAGGTGGTTGTGATGGGGGTGATGACGAGGTGGTTGTGATGGAGAGTGATGACGAGGTGGTTGTGATGGGGGTGATGACGAGGTGGTTGTGATGGGGGTGATGACGAGGTGGTTGTGATGGGGGTGATGACGAGGTGGTTGTGATGGAGGGTGATGACGAGGTGGTTGTGATGGGGGTGATGACGAGGTGGTTGTGATGGAGGGTGATGACGAGGTGGTTGTGATGGGGGTGATGACGAGGTGGTTGTGATGGGGGTGATGACGAGGTGGTTGTGATGGGGTGATGACGAGGTGGTTGTGATGGAGGGTGATGACGAGGTGGTTGTGATGGGGGTGATGACGAGGTGGTTGTGATGGAGGGTGATGACGAGGTGGTTGTGATGGGGGTGATGACGAGGTGGTTGTGATGGGGTGATGACGAGGTGGTTGTGATGGAGGGTGATGACGAGGTGGTTGTGATGGGGGTGATGACGAGGTGGTTGTGATGGGGGTGATGACGAGGTGGTTGTGATGGAGGGTGATGACGAGGTGGTTGTGATGGGGGTGATGACGAGGTGGTTGTGATGGGGGTGATGACGAGGTGGTTGTGATGGGGGTGATGACGAGGTGGTTGTGATGGGGGTGATGACGAGGTGGTTGTGATGGGGGTGATGACGAGGTGGTTGTGATGGAGGGTGATGACGAGGTGGTTGTGATGGGGGTGATGACGAGGTGGTTGTGATGGGGGTGATGACGAGGTGGTTGTGATGGGGGTGATGACGAGGTGGTTGTGATGGGGGTGATGACGAGGTGGTTGTGATGGGGGTGATGACGAGGTGGTTGTGATGGGGGGTGATGACGAGGTGGTTGTGATGGGGGGTGATGACGAGGTGGTTGTGATGGGGGTGATGACGAGGTGGTTGTGATGGGGGTGATGACGAGGTGGTTGTGATGGGGGGTGATGACGAGGTGGTTGTGATGGGGGAGTGATGACGAGGTGGTTGTGATGGGGGGGTGATGACGAGTTGGTTGTGATGGGGGTGATGACGAGGTGGTGTGATGGGGGGTGATGACGAGTTGGTTGTGATGGGGGTGATGACGAGGTGGTTGTGATGGGGGGTGATGACGAGGTGGTTGTGATGGGGGGTGATGACGAGGTGGTTGTGATGGGGGTGATGACGAGGTGGTTGTGATGGGGGGTGATGACGAGGTGGTTGTGATGGAGAGTGATGACGAGGTGGTTGTGATGGGGGTGATGACGAGGTGGTTGTGATGGGGGTGATGACGAGGTGGTTGTGATGGGGGTGATGACGAGGTGGTTGTGATGGAGGGTGATGACGAGGTGGTTGTGATGGGGGTGATGACGAGGTGGTTGTGATGGAGGGTGATGACGAGGTGGTTGTGATGGGGGTGATGACGAGGTGGTTGTGATGGGGGTGATGACGAGGTGGTTGTGATGGGGGTGATGACGAGGTGGTTGTGATGGAGGGTGATGACGAGGTGGTTGTGATGGGGGTGATGACGAGGTGGTTGTGATGGAGGGTGATGACGAGGTGGTTGTGATGGGGGGTGATGACGAGGTGGTTGTGATGGGGGTGATGACGAGGTGGTTGTGATGGAGGGTGATGACGAGGTGGTTGTGATAGGGGTGATGACGAGGTGGTTGTGATGGGGGTGATGACGAGGTGGTTGTGATGGAGGGTGATGACGAGGTGGTTGTGATGGGGGTGATGACGAGGTGGTTGTGATGGGGGTGATGACGAGGTGGTTGTGATGGGGGTGAGATGACGAGGTGGTTGTGATGGGGGTGATGACGAGGTGGTTGTGATGGGGGTGATGACGAGGTGGTTGTGATGGGGGTGATGACGAGGTGGTTGTGATGGGGGTGATGACGAGGTGGTTGTGATGGAGGGTGATGACGAGGTGGTTGTGATGGGGGGTGATGACGAGGTGGTTGTGATGGGGGGTGATGACGAGGTGGTTGTGATGGGGGGTGATGACGAGGTGGTTGTGATGGGGGGTGATGACGAGGTGGTTGTGATGGGGGGTGATGACGAGGTGGTTGTGATGGGGGTGATGACGAGGTGGTTGTGATGGGGGTGATGACGAGGTGGTTGTGATGGGGGTGATGACGAGGTGGTTGTGATGGGGGTGATGACGAGGTGGTTGTGATGGGGGTGATGACGAGGTGGTTGTGATGGGGGGTGATGACGAGGTGGTTGTGATGGGGGTGATGACGAGGTGGTTGTGATGGGGGTGATGACGAGGTGGTTGTGATGGAGGGTGATGACGAGGTGGTTGTGATGGGGGGTGATGACGAGGTGGTTGTGATGGGGGTGATGACGAGGTGGTTGTGATGGGGGTGATGACGAGGTGGTTGTGATGGGGGTGATGACGAGGTGGTTGTGATGGGGGGTGATGACGAGGTGGTTGTGATGGGGGGTGATGACGAGGTGGTTGTGATGGGGGTGATGACGAGGTGGTTGTGATGGGGGTGATGACGAGGTGGTTGTGATGGGGGGTGATGACGAGGTGGTTGTGATGGGGGTGATGACGAGGTGGTTGTGATGGGGGTGATGACGAGGTGGTTGTGATGGGGGTGATGACGAGGTGGTTGTGATGGGGGTGAACACAATCCCCTCCCCCCGCCCCCCACGTGTAGAACACCACGGAGTTGGAGGTGCACATTGTCGGGGCCGGGTTGGCGTTCGTGGGGGGCGCCCTCTACGCGACGCTCCACGCGCTCCTCTCGTGGCACACGGAGTCGCGGGGGCTCGCGTGTGTGCGCGCTACCCTCGCCGCATGGAGCCTCGCCAGTGGCGTCACGAGCATCCCACGTGCGCGTGTGCGCGTGCTTGTGTGTACACGTGTGTGTGCGTGTACACGTGCGTGTACAATATGTGTGTCAAGATGGGCCTCGATGGAGGAGGCTCGTGAAGGACGCTATTGGGCAATTGGAGGCAGTCGCCCTCCAGCAACAACGGAGGACAGAGGAGCGGACACTCAAAACAGCAAGTTGGCACAGTGGGGGGTACAGCTGGTGCATCTACCGGTCATCTCAGTCAGCCAAACCGAGGCACCTGTTGGGTCTATCCTGAGACCTCCTGTCAGCGAGCCTTCGACACTTCACGTGGCCTCAAAGTGAACCTGGCGTAGCACAGGCGCCGTGGTTAGATCGCTGTCACTTAGTGGCGAATAGCGGGGATTGGTATTGGTGTGTAGCGGGAATCGAACTCGGCGACTCGAGTTCGATTCCCGCTCACGGCCAACACCAGTGACGATTATCTTAACCGATCCTGGGCCTTCTTAAGTCGACTCAGCCTCAAATGAGTGCCTGGTGCGGTGTGTAAACATCGCTAGCACTGGGGAGACAAAGGCGGCAGGGCGTGGTGCTGGCCACCCACCCCCTCGTGTGCCGTGTCCACCTTCATAGGTGCTCGCCAACAGCACTTTCCCCAACAGTCGGTTAAGGCTATATAGGGGATCGTTGTCTTTATTTGCGTGTGTACACGTGCGTTTAGCGGTGAGGCGATGTGGGATATCTTTGACTTTGTGTACACGCGTGTGTGGTGAAGTGGTGCAGTGGTGTGGGTGGCTGTTGCCACCTTCAGTGTGAACCTTGACCCAGTACCTGCTGCTGCTGCTGCAGTGGTGGTCGCTGCCTGCCTCGCCACTTGGGACCTCACGTACAAGCATCAGGTGCCTCCCCGCCCGCCCGCCCGCCACACCATCACCACCCTCACGGCACCACCACCACCCTCACGGCACCACCACCATCACGGCACCGCCACCCTCATGGCACCGCCATCACCACCCTCACGGCACCACCATCACCACCCTCATGGCACCACCATCACCACCCTCACGGCACCACCACCACCCTCACGGCACCACCACCATCACGGCACCGCCACCCTCATGGCACCGCCATCACCACCCTCACGGCACCACCATCACCACCCTCACGGCACCACCAGCAGCACCCTCATGGCACCACCATCACCACCCTCATGGCACCACCATCACCACTCTCACGGCACCACCATCACCACCCTCATGGCACCACCATCACCACCCTCACGGCACCACCACCCTCACGGCACCACCACCATCACGGCACCGCCACCCTCATGGCACCGCCATCACCACCCTCACGGCACCACCATCACCACCCTCATGGCACCACCATCACCACCCTCACGGCACCACCACCACCCTCACGGCACCACCATCACCACCCTCATGGCACCACCATCACCACCCTCACGGCACCACCATCACCACCCTCATGGCACCACTATCACCACCCTCATGGCACCACCACCACCACCCTCATGGCACCACCATCACCACCCTCATGGCACCACCATCACCACCCTCATGGCACCACCACCACCCTCATGGCACCACCATCACCACCCTCACGGCACCACCACCACCACCCTCATGGCACCACCATCACCACCACCCTCATGGCACCACCATCACCACCCTCATGGCACCACCACCACCACCACCCTCACGGCACCACCATCACCACCCTCACGGCACCACCACCACCACCACCCTCATGGCACCACCACCACCACCCTCACGGCACCACCACCCTCATGGCACCACCATCACCACCCTCATGGCACCACCATCACCACCACCCTCATGGCACCACCATCACCACCCTCATGGTACCACCATCACCACCCTCATGGCACCACCATCACCACCACCCTCATAGCACCACCATCACCACCCTCATGGCACCACCATCACCACCCTCATGGCACCACCATCACCACCCTCATGGCCCACCATCACCACCCTCATGGCACCACCATCACCACCCTCATGGCACCACCATCACCACCACCCTCATAGCACCACCATCACCACCCTCATGGCACCACCATCACCACCCTCATGGCCCACCATCACCACCCTCATGGCCCACCATCACCACCCTCATGGCACCACCATCACCACCCTCATGGCACCACCATCACCACCCTCAAAGCACCACCATCACCACCCTCATGGCACCACCACCACCACCCTCATGGCACCACCACCACCCTCACGGCACCACCACCACCACCCTCATGGCACCACCACCACCACCACCCTCACGGCACCACCACCACCCTCATGGCACCACCATCACCACCCTCATGGCACCACCACCACCATCCTCACGGCACCACCACCACCACCCTCATGGCACCACCACCACCACCACCCTCATGGCACCACCATCACCACCCTCATGGCACCACCACCATCACCACCCTCATGGCACCACCACCACCACCCTCATGGCACCACCATCACCACCACCCTCATGGCACCACCATCACCACCCTCATGGCACCACCATCACCACCCTCATGGCACCACTATCACCACCACCCTCATAGCACCACCATCACCACCCTCATGGCACCACCAGCACCACCCTCATGGCACCACCATCACCACCCTCATGGCACCACCATCACCACCCTCATGGCACCACCATCACCACCCTCATGGCACCACCACCACCACCATCCTCATAGCACCACCATCACCACCCTCATGGCACCACCACCACCACCCTCATGGCACCACCATCATCACCACCCTCATGGCACCACCATCACCACCCTCATGGCACCACCATCACCACCCTCATGGCACCACCACCACCACCACCCTCATGGCACCACCACCACCACCACCCTCATAGCACCACCATCACCACCCTCATGGCACCACCACCACCACCCTCATGGCACCACCATCATCACCACCCTCATAGCACCTCCATCACCACCCTCATAGCACCACCATCACCACCCTCATGGCACCACCACCACCCTCATAGCACCACCATCACCACCCTCATGGCACCACCACCATCACCACCCTCATGGCACCACCGCCTCCACCAACTATGGCTGACCGCACCTCACCCCGCAGGCTAAGACCCTGCTCCGAGTGTCCGCCGCGGCCGAGTGGAGCCTCGGGGTTTCCTTCCTCACGTTCTTCCTCACCTTCATCCGCGACTTCCAGGTGTGACTCCCACCCCAAACACCCGCTGTGTAGCCTTTAACAGACGTTTGTAGCACCGATGAAGGTCGCCACATGAGGGAGTGGGTGGTCATCTGCCATGCACAGTGACATTGTAGCAAAAACAGCCTCTGTTCACCACTAAGTGGCGGTCACGTCACCACGGCGCTTGCACCAGGCCGTGCACACTTTGAGGCCTTGTGAAGTGTCGAAGGCTCTCCGGCAGGAGGTTGCGGGATGTAAGTAGCCAACTGCGATCATCGGAGGTGCGGGGGAAGGATAACAAACTAAACACATAATAAAGCAATTCTCAAGAAATTAGTTTTCAATTCAGATTTAAAAGTGCATAGCTCCAGTGGCTTCTTAATATCGTAAGAGCGTTCCAGATGGCCGAAGAAGCGCATTTGAAAGTGACCGATGCATCACCGACGCCTCCTGCTGTGCTAACTTGCTGTGTTTTAGCCGCCCGGCGCGCTGCTCGTTGTGAGCGTCGCTCCTCTGCCCTCCACAGGTTGTTAGAGGGAGACGGCCTCCAATTGCCCAGTAGCGTCCTTGACAATCCTTCAGCGGCCGGTCTCGACACCGCTGGTTCCAGCTATCGGCAAGTCCACTCAGGGGCAAACAAAAATCCCTCTTATAGCCTTAACAGACTGTAGAAGCAAGTGCTGTTAACGAGTATATTGAACTTCTGTTGCACCGTACGTATCCAACCGTGCTAATCGGAGGACGACAAACTTAACGGGTAGCAGCACCGATGAAGGTCGGCACTCCACACGAAGGAGTCAGTGGCCAGCACCACGCCTGACCGCCTGTCTCCATAGTGGCGATGTTTACATTTGATACCAGGTACTCATGAGGCCGAGTTGACCTAGGGGAGGGCCAGGGCGGGTTCAGATAATCGCCACTGGTGTAGCCCGTGAGCGGGAATCGAACCCAGGTAGCCGGGTTCGTAGCGCAGTGCTCTAACCGCTGCACTTCCGCTTCCCACTCAGGGACACACACAGTGACAGACACTCAGACTCGGCTGGACCCTCACCACCCCCCCCCCCCCCATTCACCTCCGCAGGGCATGAGATTCCGTGTAATCGCGGAGCCGAGTCCGGAGCACCAGAGTTTGCTGGACGAGAGGAGGCGACTTCTGCCCCAGTGATGTCCCCGCGAGGACTTGACGCGCGTCATTCCGAGCCTCACCCGAGATGCAGCCGGCTGATGCAGACCCGATCACCCCAGACCTCGTTTCTGTCCCCATCCCCGCGGATTCCACGGTGGAGACCATGACAATGATACAGTATTGATCGCGTTTTTATAATGAATTATTTTTATACCAATCGCGCTGCACTTATATTGAATAACCACGTGAATAAATGACTTGACTCACAGAGGTACCAGACACGAGGTCACTGCGAGATGCGGGTTTTTATTGAGGGGGGTGGGGGCACGGGGGGAGCGCTCAATAGCGGTGCGCACCGCTCAGAGACAGCAGCCACCGAGGTGGAGCCAGAAGACCGTGGGTGCCGGGGCCCCAACCTCTCTCGCTTCACTTGTAGCCGGAGTTACCTCCTCCCATGCCGCCGTTGCTTCCTCCGAAGCAGCACTGCTTCACGGGCCGCTGGCAGCATTGCTGCGTCTGGCAGCACTGAGGGCCCTTTGAGGAACCGCCCCTGGAACCATGGCCCCACCGCTTCCACAGAGAGCCGCACCCCACCTCATCCTCCTCCTCCTCCTGCTGCTGCTGCTCCAGCCGAGGACGCCCGCCGGCTCTGACCTTGCAGGGCCATTGAGGCGCTGGGTAGGGATGCGGCGGCGGAGCTGGGTAGGGATGCGGCTGGGGCCACATCGGGTGCGACTTGCACACCAACTGACACCGCGGGGGCGGCGGGCAGCACGGCGAGGGATGCGGCTTGCAGGGCCGCTGAGAAGGATCGCTCCATGGGCACTGATGGTCCGAGTAGCTGCCGAGGAATAACACGCAACGTGCACACACGTGTCGACTCACGGCCATGGCGATACGCCGAGGGGCTAAACTTCACCGCAACTTATAGCTCAGTCCACCGACACTGCTACATTCCACACACGGGTTTAATAGCAGGCACCTCCATTTAACTACAATATATAGAGAGAGGTGCACTGCGTTTACAAACTCTCAGCCTTATCCACAACCAGATCAAAATACCAACTTGATGTGTGGCCATGTTGTGCTTCAGGCGAGCAACTGCATTAAAACACCACCAACAAGGGCAAAGCTGTACAAGGTGCAATTCGATTCTGCTGTGGAGCATTCTCCCGGAAGGCCGGTAAAGCGATGGCCTGAACTGACGGCGAGTGCGCGACACGCACGACAGGTGTGTACTGGCGTGCAGGTACACATGACGACAAACACAAAGATGCCCCCGAAAGCCTTAACAGCATTTTAGGGCAAATGCTGTTAGCGAGCACCTATGAAGGCTAGCAAGGTACACGAGGGGGTGGGGTGGCCAGCACCAAGCCCTAGTAGCGATGTTTACACATCACATCAGGTACTCATTTGAGGCCGAGTCGATATAGGGGAGACCCAGAACCGGTTCGAATATTCGCCACTGTTATAGGTCGTGAGTGGGTCAAACCCGGTTCGCTGGGTTCGTAGCGCAGCACGCGAACCGCTACACTAACGCTCCCCACGCTTAAACAGGCACACAGGTACACACTAATAGACATAGGCACACACATATACACACTCCCAGAAGCCACACCGACACACACGGGCAGAGCAATCGTAACTGCATCAAGGCTCTCTCACACACACAGAGCCACACGTAGTGTGGACACACAGAGCCACACGTAGTGTGCACACACAGAGCCACACGTAGTGTGGACACACAGAGCCACACGTAGTGTGCACACACAGAGCCACACGTAGTGTGCACACACAGAGCCACACGTAGTGTGGACACACAGAGCCACACGTAGTGTGCACACACAGAGCCACACGTAGTGTGCACACACAGAGCCACACGTAGTGTGGACACACAGAGCCACACGTAGTGTGGACACACAGAGCTACACGTAGTGTGCACACACAGAGCCACACGTAGTGTGGACACACAGAGCCACACGTAGTGTGGACACACAGAGCCACACGTAGTGTGCACACACAGAGCTACACGTAGTGTGCACACACAGAGCCACACGTAGTGTGGACACACAGAGCTACACGTAGTGTGGACACACAGAGCCACACGTAGTGTGCACACACAGAGCTACACGTAGTGTGCACACACAGAGCCACACGTAGTGTGCACACACAGAGCCACACGTAGTGTGGACACACAGAGCTACACGTAGTGTGGATGAGAGCGCTTCAGAACCATACCTCATGCCGGGTCTGGAGACGCACGTGGATCTGGAAGAATGGAAGAGGCAACGAACGGATGCTGTGGCTGTTCGATGCTCGTGCCCCGGGCTTTATATCGTGACCGGGCGGCTCGAGGCGGGGTCCCGTGCTCATTGCTCGTGAGCCGTTAATTAACGGCGATTAATGAGTAATGGCCCAATTATCAGCGGGGGCTGTGGGGGCCCAGGGTTGAGTCTCCAGCCGGGGCCAGGGTGGTCCCAGGGCCCGACCCACGAGCGGCTCCTCCCGCGCAAGCCAACAGTGTTAACTTGCTTGTTTAACAAGAGCCCTTAATGATATTAATCACCCAATTTACAATGATGACCTTCAATTGCACTAATTAAGGTGGGGTGAGGAGTGTGACATCGCTGGTGATTGATCTGCATTGGGGGGAGGGGATGGTGAAAGATGATGGCATTGGGTGGTAGGGAGCTGAGAGGGGGCCCCCAGGGTCCTGGTGGGGCTGTGAGACTCCCACGGCTGATCCATGTGTACTCTCCAACGAGGTCCCTTAGATGTTAGGATCGCCTTCTTCTGAGTACTCCGAGGACAAGGCTCATTTCCTGCAGGAGTAATCGGGCTTTTTTCCAGTACAGCCCCCACGCTTTAGAACAACGCTTTGCTACTAAGACAATCAGCATCGTTAAATATATTCAAGTCTGTATGAAAATACTCATCTCTTTAAACTGGCCTTTACCCGCATCTAGTTCTGGCCGTTTACCCTGGTTCGGAGCGAGCGATGAGTAGGTGAACGAGTGGGTGAGTGAGTGGGCGAGGAGGTGAGGGTGTGGGTAAGTGGGTGAGCGAATAGGTGAGCGAGCGGGTTAACTAGCCTTTACTCACACCTAATTCTGGTCGTTTGTCCAGCTGGTTGTTGTTTTTTTCCTGCTTGCCATACACGTTGCGCATTGGGATCTACAGATTGAATGTGGCACTTGAAAAATGTAAATTATGATTGTGTCCTCCCTAGCAGTATTACGAGTGGTTCCTGACCTGTGCTCCTCAGGCCTTGGCACGTGATCTGCGGAACTGTTGCAGATACCATTGTATATACTGCAGTATATACTGTAGTATATACTGCAGTATATACTACAGTATATACTGTAGTATATACTGTAGTATATACTGCCCAATGCGCAACGACCTCGTGGCTCGGCAGAAGAGAAAGCGGCCCACAATAGGAAAGTTGCAAGTTCAAATCCCTCCGGGGTCACCAAAAATTAGTACCACTTTGTGGGGAAGTCAACAGTGGTTGTCCTATGGATAGACTCGCCCCTGCCAGAGAAACGTGGAATGTCCCCTTTTGGCTTAGGGCTGTAAACTGATGGGCACCGCGTCAATACTCACTTGGATAAGAACACCCGCGTACTGCTCCGCCATTCAGATTGCGTTCGCTACTCGAACGCAGCTGGGTAATGACTCGTCTGAGGATTGCTGCCATTGATTAGTGATGAGTACATTGGGGCGTTTTCAACACAGTTGCTGAGCACAGGCGCAAAGTTCCCAAGTGACAAGCAGCACTAATCACAGTTGTAACACGGAAGAGTCAACATAAGTCCCATCATAGGTGCTCGTTAATAGCACTTGCCCCAAAAGTCTGTTACGGCTGTACGGGGGACTTTTTGTTTTGTAGTGACCTGCAGGATGGTGGTTGAGTGCTGGGTGAGTGAGTGGGTGGGTGAGCTGAAACAATCCGGTGAAACTGAGTCCCCAACATGAGGAGGCATTAACGAGTGAGGTTCATGGGAAGTCACCGTGGTGGTGGTGGTGATAGCGACACAAGCGTGGTGCGTGGTGTATACATGTTTTGAGGGTTGGCTCTGGTCCATTTGGTCCCGAAATGTTGGGAACAGGAACCACCGACGATTTGACACCCATGTTGACGAAGCCTAACCCTCCCAGTGCCGTGCAATTCCGTGCAATTATTGTCTTACCTTAGCCTCTCCCAACACATTACAGGTCTGACACATAAAGGCCAGCTCGGTTTTACACGTGGCATTTCTCAAAGTCTCAGTCTCTCTCCTCTTTCTCCAACTCACATCGCCATCACAAACTATTTTGCAACATTGTTTGACATTAGAATCCCACGGTTACAGAAAACTAGAGTAACATATTTCCATTCACTAAATTCAGCAGCTCATATTAAGTTGGAGGTTGCGCATTTTCCATAAGTTGGGGGTTGGTTGAGTTAGCACATCACTTTGTGGAGAAGCCAGCAATGGTTTGCCATATAAATATATTAGTATGTATGTTGAACTTCTTTCGCACCGTACACAGCCAACCGTGCGAATCAGAGCTGCGGGGGAAGGACAACAAACTAAACACCACCACGATGGGAACGTGGAACTTCCACCATTGGCAAGGAGCTGTAAACGGGAGATGAGCAGAGCCTCAATGCTCATGTGAACAGGAAGTCGCTTTGACTTACAGCTCAGCCTTACTCGTTGCGTGCTGTGAATGTTAAGAGATGTAAACTGCGTGTACACTACACGCGGCATTGCATGTTGTCAACGGACACGCTGGACTCACAAGTGAGATGTTCCATCTCACGGAACCAACCATTTGTAAATATTTTTGTACCATGTTAAAAGATTACCCTTTCCAGGCAGTAGCCCCGTGACATCGTTTAGAATGACGAAAGTCGAGTTCCCCTTTCCAATGATCTCTCTCCAGTTTAACCGCCAGCATCTCTGAGCTCACGCCAGCTGCCTCTCGCTTAAAACTGTCCACGATTATGTCGAGGAGTTCCGTGGTTTGAAAACCAAGTGGGATAAATTAAAACGTTTAATGCGCAAACTGGGAATGCGTCCAGTTATCGCAAGGACGCGCGGGAAAACAAGACGATCGGGATGGCAGTCAAAACCGGCCTTGCAAACAATTGGCCAAGCTCTGTGGCCCTATATATCTTGTCATGTATGGCCAACTCGATTCATAATACTTGCGGGTGCACCGAGAGGAAAACGGACGCATGCGAGGGGGGTAACCCGTACAGATGGAGCCGGGGGGGGGGTACCTGGAGTGGGTGGTTTCAGTCGGGGGTCAGGACTTCTTGCTGCCAATGATTCTGCCCAAATGATAACAAAGAAAGTACCTTCTCTGGACAGTCGATTACTTTATCAATAACCTGGGGAAGTTACTTACATTTGTGGACTTCGGTGCATCCCCTTTGCCACAGAGGATCGACCATGCCATACTGCGACACAGCGTTCCCATTACAGCTTACAGAAGGTTCATGTGAAAAAAACATCCCCACACAACATCCCCCGATGCTCGCCTCGCGACATCGCTTCCGAGCGCGCGAGTGAACCGCGAGGTTCTGCTTTTAACCCGAAAGGCGCGGAGTGACTCGTGCTCTCTCGCCAACTCAGCTCCTGTTTCTTCTCGTGGGATACTCTCACCCAACTACAATCCTGTACAGTTTTTAAATCACACGTGAATACGTCTTTTTAAAAGGGATGTTACACGTAACATCATTACAGTAGCTTAAAGTACTATTATGTATTTTTAAAGAGTTACTATATCATATCGGTCGTGAAAGCCTTCACGTGAAATTTACTAGATATATTCTTTACTGATTTTAAAAGCAGTTGCCGAGCAAAACTCAAAAACCCAAAACATCAAGTGGTCAGCAACAAAAAACACCATCAAATTTGCAAGAAATAGGAGTTCCAGTTTATTCAGTAGGGAGGGAATTATTCCAAGGTACAGCAGTGCAAGGGAAGAGGCAGAAGGAGAAGTGGTGTGACCTGCAGTGTGGTGAGTGGGTGGGCGAGTGGGTGTCTTGTCTATTGGAACATCTACGCCGGTTAGAAACATTAAGGCTGGCCTGCCTACGACCCATCCTGAGTATAAGCAGGCAGGATTGTGTGAGCTCGCAATTCCTTGAAAGATCTGGACACATTCCCATCAGAGTTCCTTCAGCAGGCAAGGCTGTGTTGGCTGGGTTGTGTAGCCCCCGCATGCCCACCCAGGCGAGATAGAGGGGGATGAGTGGGCACGACAGGGGCTGTAAACGAGATGGACTGGTGGGGTGCAGGAGCTTGTGGAGCTCAGTGGACTTGCCGATGACTGGTACCAGCGGTGTCAAGATCGGCCTCTGTGGAGGAGGCTCGTGGAGGATGCTACTGGGTAATTGGAGGCAGTCGCCCTCCAACAACAATGGAGAGCAGAGGAGCGACGCTCACGAGTGGAGCGCCGGGTGGCTAAAATACAGCAAATTGGCACAATAGAGGGCACAGCTGGTGCATCAACCAGTCATCTCAGTCAACTCATGGCACCTGGGTCTATTCCATGACCTCCTGTGAGCGAGCCTTCGACACTTCAAATGGCGTCAAAGTGCACCTGGCCTGGCACAGATGCCATGGTGACGTCACCGCCACTTCGTGGCGAATGGTGGGGGTTGTTGTCTTGTTGTGACCTGCAGTGTGGTTGGTGGGTGATTGAGTGATCGATTGTGTTCTTGTGACATGCACTTTAATGGTTGAACACTGTGGATGAGATGAAACAGTCAGTGACTGGTGGAGCACACATCCGCAACACAGGTGGATGATTCAACAAGTGAAGATCACAGGATCAATAACCATCGTAGTCGTGACAGAAGGGTGACGAGGTGACGAGCCACCGTTGAGCAAGAGACCAGAGTGGCTCAGGGAGCGCTTCTGTTCAAATCGTTCATAAAGTTGTGGGGCATTGTCAGGGCCAGACGAAGGTTATGATAGAAAGGGTCTAAGAAACGATTCCATGTTTAAAATGTGTATGTAGTCATCAAACATACATATTTTTATGCCTATATGAAATTAAACATAAATCACTACACTCATTTTCTTTCGAGCATTAGCTGTGGCAACGTCACAAATGCTGTCATCATAATTCAAAGGCAAATATGTTCCGATGGCCGCGCTACCTTCGCTCAGCTGTAACTTCAATGTGGAACGAAGAGCCTAAAGGAGGGCCTACAAAATATGGCCTTTGGGTTAATTGGGCCCTGAGAATTGTGAAAGCTTTGCCTTAAAAGGAGATATGTAAAAAGGGTTGTTAAAATGTTTGTGTTTGCATCACTGCTAGCCACATTAAAAAGACTCAAGTACAACACCAGTTACACATACAGAAATGTCCAGCGGTAAACGCATTCACCTCAACTGAGGAACGAAGACAGCTGCCGTAGTGGTGGCACGATGGTCGGCAAACTAGACAAGCGATCCACAGTTTACCCGTTCAATCCCATCTCCCGACACGGCAGTGGAAACATTTGTGGGTAGATCTCTTAAATCTCTGCAGTTGTAACACTCCACTGGACACCATTCCCAGTTCCTGACTTTCGGAATCAGTAATCGATTCTGTAAGTGATTGCCAGTAGACTGGTTACCATTTAACAACCCTATAATAAACATAAACTATTAACCGTATATATAAACTGATAAATCCGATACACAAATGTTATCTGTTCGCGTTATGGTGTTCTCTGGTCTAACACTGGTGAGACAAGGCCATACAGGAGGCTGTGTGTGGTGTAGGCCAATCCGTTTCAAAGACAAAGCACACACATTATTCTCAAAGCATGTTTGTTTGCATGTTTTACCACGAGCATGACGTGTGGTTAATGCAGACTTGATGCCTTGCAATATGTGTCGATTTGGTAATGAACATCTTACCACCTCCTGTATTATACCCTGAAAGGGTAAAGCTTATTCTTTCGAATAATTTTGATACCGGCAAAAATGGTCCCATAGAAATGTTGGCGTTTATTGAAACCACATCACAAAGACAATGTGAAGGCACTGCACACAAACAGGGTCACACGATTCATTCATTGGAAAATGTTCCTCTTTGTCGGATTTTTGGCAGAAATGCACCGAGGCCTTTATCACAAACACAGCCTGGGCAAACAGGCATGGCGGCGTGCTTCGGCTCACTTGGAACATCCGAATCCTGGCAAATGAAAAGCAGCCGAAAATGAAAACGCCATTCATTGGAGCCCTGAGATAGTGGCGTAAATTCCACATTCCCATTGTTGTAGGTGAGCCTCTCCTCCGCAGGACAACCACTGTCAACTTCCCCACATCGTGTTGCTCATTTTGGTCCAAAGGGGAATGAAGGGCCGGAGTCAACGCTCAAAAGAGGGTTTGAAATCACAACCTTCCAGCTGCTTGCTCAACCATTGAGCCAGCTGGATGCATGATAACCAAGTCAACATTTTCCCAAATGCATAACACTTACCCATGAGCCAACCACTCAGCTTTTTCCTAAACAAACAACTCAACCAGCCACTGGTACGAGTGCTACCTTTAATCCTCATCAACTAGGCAATTAGAGCTAGCCCTTCCACTAAACCCCTCACTTGACCGCTGGTTGGGGCTCTTAACTTTTCAGGTTTGGTTTCAGAGAAGAGATCAAGAGGAAGCATGAGACACGTGCTGCCAAGCTATTGTTTCACGGGCGATCGTTCGTTGAGCAGATCCTACGTGAGGCCTTGGACACCAGGGCTCACAGCTCCAGCAGCCAGAAGCAGAGGCTGCGGTCAGAACCACAGGCGCACAGAGGCAGCTGCGGGTGCCAGCTCAGGCCTGACAGCGCTGGCACCTTGCTCTCCAGCGCCGGCTACACAAACACAAAGACAGGAACAGTTATCACCATTCGCCAGTAAGTGGCAGTGTTGCCACACGGCGCTTGTGGCAGGCTTGGTGCACCCCGAGGCCACGTGAAGCGTCAAAGGCTCGCTGGCAGGTCACGGGACAGACCCAGGTGCCATGGGTTGACTGAGATGACTGACCGATGCACCACCCTATCCCCCCTACTGTGCCAACTTGTTGTGTTTTAGTTGCCCAGCGTATACACACAATCGCAGAAGGACGAGTGGCCTACTGGCGCATTCACCCACACAGGCGAGACACGAGCTGATGGCCAAATATGCACTACAACAACAGGCTACTTGGTCGTGGCATCGCGGGCGTGTGACGAGAGCCTTACCTGTACGTGTGCCAGGTTGTGAATGAGCAGCGTTCCACTCAGCCGTCCGGGGGGACTTGTGGTGGCAAATACGCCCCCCACGGCACGGCACCAACTGCACCGGGTGGACATGACACGACCGTTGCAATAATACCACAACTACCGCAATCACCACTGCAAGCACAAACACCACCACTACCGTCAAGATTATAACGACAACTACTGCTGCAACCATACCCATCGATGACATGGCTCAGCCGTAGCACATTCGCCGCTTGTTGCAGAGGTTCATGGTTATATTTTGAAAGGCCACCTTAGTGAATACTGCAGCATATTAACCATGAAATATTACGTGATGTCTGCTGTTTTACAGTGGACGTTATCGATCCAGTGACATCAGTGCAAGAAAAGTAGGCCGTTGTTTGCCAGCAACACAGCCCAAATTGATCACATTTTTATAATTACTCACAAATTACTTAATTGGAAAACGCATCACAATTGTTGCCCCCTACTGCAACGAACTTGGCAGGACCCTCCTGAAAAAAAGAGTTTTGAGCCTCAGTGCAGTTCTCTGAAGTAAGTAAATAAAGAAATATAATACATACAGCAATCCCTTCCCTCTCACGGGTTTAGCTGTCGCGTTTTGTGTAACATGTATTAAGGTACAGTTTGGCAATCGTGACTGACTGCGAGATTCCTGTAAGCATCATAACTGCACTGCCCGCAGAAGAACGCATGCGCCATTTTTTCTCCATCTTTTCTTCCAAGCAGCCAATCATGGGCCCCAGGTCACGTGACATTCCCATCCTCCAGTGAGGAGGCAGTGAGGTTCAGCCGCATGATTTTTCTTCCTGTACAGTACTGTACACTAATTTTTGTTTTCATTCTATACATTTACCATACAAGTTATATTTAACACTAGAAAATATTAATATTTTACGTAAAAAATACTTTCTGTTTAATGTTTGGGTTGATGTAGGGTAACATAAAACAAAAGGAGGGGGTTTCGTATGAGAGAACGTAACCCCCACGATGGGCAAGGGTTTTCTGTATTGCCTGTGCAGTGGGCCCGGAAGGAGGGAGGACTTACCGAAACTGGGAGGCGCCCTCCAGGTGCGCTGACTTGCGCTCCACGGGCCAGCTGTGGGGACAGACGGCACAATCGCGTGTGACGCCTAAGCGTGCGTGCATGTGTCAATGAGTTAACATGTGAATATGCCGGGGCAGAGCACTGGTGAGCTGCCACCGCCGAGATTCTGGGTTCAAAATCCAGGTTTTAGGCACGGATCATGAAACTGGGTTCTCAATTGCGGCGGTGGTCTCAAGCCAGTCGAAAAAGACCACAAAAAAATGTATTGCGCTAAATTTGGTTTTCACTGCATTCAGTATTCTCCAGATCTGAGGACGATAAATGCCTTGCTTGATTGTCATGTAACGAACACTATTTCAGAATCAGAAGTGTATTACCCAAGTAAAGCCCATCGAGGGAAGAATTTCTATTTTTCAAGGGAGTGAATTGGCCGGCAGGCATCAAAGTATTCCACAATTACAGATTGTAGCATCAGCTTACTCAGCCTGCTCAGACAATGTGTGATGTTGCAGCACTTCCTGAATGCGCTGCAACTGAACGTTCCGTCGATGCACAAGTAGGTGCCAGTAGCACAGGTGCAATGTGACTGCTGCAGCAGAGAGACTCAAATTGTTCTCGGAATGTGGGTCTGCACTGCGTCAGCGTGGATGGACATGTGGATGTTTGCGTTCACTTGCATGAATCTGTGACCACAATCCAGGTGTAGCGGCATCGTTGAGCGCCGTGTGCGATTGTCACTACTCGCAGCCTGTAGTAACGGCCCCCGGTCAACAAGGGGCGGAAGGGAGGCTGATGGAGATGAGTCGGGTCGTTGGGCCAAGGTAACCCCCAGGGTAGCTCGTGACCAGAGGTGCAGACCCCAGACCCCCAAGAGGGGGGCTGGGGGATGACGTCACACTCCAAGCCCCTCTAGAAGGTTCCGGAAGGGAGGGGTGGCTCGGGGCGGAGTGAGCTGGGACTGGGTATAAAAGCCGCACCCCTGAACGGGACCGGCAGTTGTCGTCCACTCGAAGATCAAGAAGCTGCCCTGGAGACCGAGGAGCCGGACCCGAGGACCTTGACTGGGTCGGGTCAGTGTAGCCTCCCTAGACCCCGATAGCGGAGGACTCGACAGAGATTGGTCCCGAGTGTATGGGGAACGCCAGTGAGGAGGACGTACCTCCCTAGTGTAGCGGGTGGAAGGGGCCGTACCCCTTCGTGTTCTGTATTGTTATTTGTAAAATAAACGTGTTGCCTCTAAAGAGAAGTCTCCCTCTAGTTTGTACCCACTACACGGGTAAGAACTCATTGCGAGAGTGACCTCGCGGCACAACACCACAAGCCATATTCCACACGGTAACCGTGACGTCCAGGTGCTCGTGGAGTGACATCGGGGATGCCACTGTGTGGTGCCGGCCCGGGAGGGTCGTGGCGTCCGATGTTTCTACGTCGCGGACAGCACCAGGTGGGTTGCTGTGTGAGGCCGGCTTTACTATAGCATGGCGTGCGATGCACCGTCATCGCGTACACCCCGTAGGCGGGTGTAGTACCAGCCCTAGCCGGGCTTGGTGAGCGCTGGGAGATAGCGCGGGCACCACGCACGGCGCGCAGTGCGGGCTCCCACAGAGCGTCAGCCCAGGGGCAGGGTTGCCCCGGGCCGTGGCACTCTGGTTGACCCCGTAGGCACGTGATCCGGAGTGTCCACAGAGAGGGCCCCAGGTGGGGGGGCTAAGGGGTGATCACGTGTCCGGGGAGAGCTCTCGAGAGGGATCGAGAGGGATCGAGGGGGAGCTAGAACGCTCGAGAAGGTGGGCGGGGCCTGGGCAGAGCCAGCCCTGACCCGGGAGGATACAAGGTGGGTCCCTGAGAGGGATCGGGGTCTCTTCGTTCTACAAGCTGGAAGCTCCACGTCAACAAGCTGGAAGCTCCACGTCAACAAGCTGGAAGCTCCATGTCTACAAGCTGGAAGCTCCACGTCCACAAGCTGGAAGCTCTACATCCTACGAGGCATCAACACGTGGCCGGGACCCGAGTGAGGGTCCGACCCTTTGTAGCTGTAACTCCTACCTATAGTGTAGTTAGCTGGGTGGTCACCACCCTAGGCTGTATCTGGTGAAGGGGCAGTTACCCCTTTGTATATACGTGTTACAATGTGTTGCCTCTGAAGAATAACGTCTGCGACTCAGTTGGACTCACTACATTGGTAACAGGATAGTTGTACACATTCGTGATGCCACTTGGACAGGCAGGCGAACACAAAGTCGGAGCAGACCACTTCCTTCCAAGATGCAACTGCCTGAGCCGCTCACCCCACTCACCCCACTCACCCCGCTCACCCCACTCACCCCGCTCACCCCACTCACCCCGCTCACCCCACTCACCCCGCTCACCTGCCACGCGACGAGTCCCACAGGAGCCAGTCGGCCCCTGCCACGGCGCCAACAGACACCGGGTCCAGGGGGCTCCAGTCGGCCATCATGAGGGGTCCGCTGGGGGCCCCACAGTCCAGGGAGAGCAGCGCGGCCCAGCTCCTCGCGCTGTAGACCCGCACGCGGCCGCCACGCTCGCCCACCAGCAGCTGCGCCACGCACAGCGGCAAAAACAACCCCCATTCGACGGGGATCGGCGGTGACGTCGCCGCAGTGCTTGTGTGCCAGGCTGGGTGCACTTTGAAGTCATCTCATGATGTGTGGAAGGCTCACTGGCAAATCAAGTGATGGACCCCAGTGTTGTGAGTTGAATAATGATTTATGATTTCTTAAGGCCAATAAAGGGTGACGATTAAAGCTTCGTCCGAGAGTTGGTGAACTGCAGATACACTGCCTGCAGAATTAGATTTGGGACAGTGGGATGTTAGGTGATCCATGCTTTGGCATTCATAGCCGCAATCACACACAAGGAGAGTTCCTTTATTCTCTACTTGGGCATTCGGTGTGGTTTGTGCAGATCTGGTTTAAGTGCTGTCCAGTGTTTCCATGCAAGCCGGGCAGTGTGAAGGTGCGGTCGCTGGGCAGGTGTTTGTTGGGCACGCCACTCGAAGCCCATTAATTGGTCTGTGCCATCTCAATGCTGAAATTCGCATCAAAGAAGAGTATGTGCCACACGTTTCCAAAATAGTCAAGTTATGGATATCAGCCGTGGCGTGTGTCGACTTCTGATCGGTGCAGTTTACGGAGTGTTGCAGGAAGGGCTAACTGACTTGACTGGCGCACACACGTAAGCCATGTCTACATGTGTTGCCTTGGTGGACCTTGTGCAGGTGCCTCACCTTGTCAGGCTCTGTGGAACTCCAGCACACACTGGCGCCAGGGGAGAGCAGCGGGAGGCAGACTTGCTGGTCACCAGAGTCATCCCAGATCCTACGAAAACAAGACAAAGATCCCCCTAGAGCCTGAACAGACTTTGGGGCAGGTGCTGTTAGAAAGCACCTATTCAGACCGGCACGGGTGGGTGGCGAGCACCAGGACCGACACCTTTGTCTCCCCAGTGGCGATGTCTACACACCGCACAAGGTACTCATTTGGAGCTAAGTTGACTTAGGGGAGGCCCAGGAACTAGTCCGATAATCGTCACTGGTGTTAGCCATAAGCGGAAATCTAACTCGCGTCACCAGGTTCGTAGCAGCACACTAACTGTTGCACTACCGCTCCCCAGATCCTACACATGCAACCGCACACAAACGACCACAATCACACGCGCACTGCGACAACCACACACCATACCACGACCACAGCCATATACAGAGCACCACAACCACACATCGTTTGTAGACGAGAGCCCAAGACATCTTTAATTGAACCAACCAAGCGGCTTTCCTTAAAACCCTCTGCTGCTAGACCACCCAGATTTTATAGCTTACCATAAAATCCATAAATAAGGTACACACCCTTTCGTCCTATCGTCTCCACCATTGACTCACCCACCTACACACTGGCCTGATTTCTGTCTGAGACCTTACAACCATTCACTGGTAAGACTACCTCAGCTGTATTTAACTCAGCTCACTTGGTATCGTTAATTAAGGACATCTCACTATCTCCAGGTGATTGGCTTGTCAGTTTCGATGGAGTCTCTTTGTTTACCAAAGTTCCTGTAACTGACACCATTGCAATCTGAATGCTGATGTACTGGCCCTGGTTAGGCATTGCCTCACCAACACTTACTTAACGTGGAATGGAACATTCTACAAACAAGTTGAAGGTACCCCAATGGGTTCTCCCTTATCTCCAGTTGTAGCCAATGTTTTCATGGAAAAATTTGAGACAGATGCCATCCAGGCATCCACTCTACGTCCTTCCTTGTGGAAGAGGTAGATGACACGTTCGTCATCTGGCCACATGGCTTACCAGCTCTGGGCCAATTCTTCAACCACATCAACTCCATACACCCAGCCATCAAATTCACCATGGAGGTGGAAAAGGATGGCAAGTTACCATTCTTGGATGTCTTAATCGAAAAGAGACCAGATGGCTCAATGGGACACTGTCTACAGGTAAGCCACCCATATGGATGCCTACCTAAAACCTGACCCCCACCACCATCCATCCCAGAAGAATTCCCTCATCAAAACTCTACACCATAGAGCTCGATGTATTTCCGACCATCACCACCTAGCCAGTGAACTGGAACACGTACACCAAGCTCTCAAGACGAATGGATATTCAGACTACACATTCCATAAAGCTGTCACCCCAACTGTTGAGAAAGAACCATCTGAGGACCCAATCAAAACCATCACCTTGTCATACATAACAGGGGTCACCAAAAAGACTTCCAAAATCATGAGCAAGCACAAAATCCAGGTTCGATTTAACACAGTACATAACATTCGTGATCTGATCCCATCTGTGAAGTATGTGATCCCTGACATGCAATACCCCGGCATCTACAAACTAAGCTGTGTCTGTGGCAGTAGTTACATTGGGGAAACTAAGCGACATGTCTCGGACCGTGTTCGTGAACACAAGGCGGATCTGAAACACGGTAGGACCGATACCTCGGCCGTGGTTGATCATTGTTTTAATGCGGTGGGCTCACACGAAATTGTTTTTTCCAAGACGAAAGTAGTCTGCAAACCCACTGGCTATCAACAAAGATTCGTTCATGAAGCCCTCCAGATATATAAACACAGACACAATTTCAACCGAGAAGATGGGTACAAACTGAGCAATCATTGGAAGGACGTTATTAACCAGTTTAAGTCGTAACTGGCTGTGATGTTCCCAGCCTACCACCTTCCGATTTTAGTTGTTATTTTCGGCTATCTGACTTTTTACATTAACAGATACAATTTCTCACCAACACAGCAACCTCGCGCGCCATCCTCGAGGCGGCTGCTTCACGATCTGCCATTAACATGCTAATCCATCCCATTAACATAGCCACCTTGACGCGCTCACCGTATAGGAGGCTCCGCGATCTTGCATTGCCATGCCTGGCAGCCCTCTGATTGGTGGAGAGCCCACCACCGCCGCGGTCGCTGCCCACCACTTGCATTGGCGGCTGACATTTGGGCCACGCCCATTTCAAACCTTAATCAGCAGTTTGTCTTTAGAAGCTGACCCCCCTTTTCCTGCAAACGACCGCTTGTGTTGCGATCGAAACGTCAATATTTTATGTAATTTTTTCTGTCTACGTGGCTTTACCGAAAGACCCAAAAAATATGAGAGCCCAAGAGTTGGCATGTGGCGCCCCCTACTGGCCACCGATGTAACTACCCCACGTGGTGACTCCTGGAATAATTTGTTTTTAATTGATCAAAATATTTAATTCGGGTGGTCCCTTGAGATGGAACCTCTCGCTCACAAGGCAGCCAGGGTGTGTCCATCGACCCACGCAGAGCAACAACAAGAACTGCCGCTCACCACTAAGTGGCGGTGACAGCATGCACGCGTTTTAATGGGGTGGTAAAATCTTAAGCATGGCACAGTTTCAATTTCTAACTTCCACGGTAAGTTAGCAATATTGTATCTTATTTTATATTTATAGAGCGCCGTAGCTCAAAGCGTTTTACATAACTTAAAAGCGTAATCAAAATTATAGTGATTAAGATGGCAGGGGTGTGCAAAAGCCGAGGAATGAGTGACCGTAACAGAGGGCACACGGGGTCACGAAAGGGCAGAGGAGGCACGGGAAGGAGTGGAGGGGCGAGGGGAGGGAAGGGAATGGGCAACAGCAAAGAGCTGAGCTTTAATAGAGGAACCAAAGGAGGCTAATGAAGGGGACTACTTAATGAACAGGGGAAGTTTACTCCAGTGGAGGGGTACAAGGAGGGAGAAAGATCAGCAACAGGATTGGGCACGGGGAATCGAAATCAAAATCTTTATTTATCCTGGAGAAATCCGATGAGTTATGTGGCTATTTTTTTACAGATGTCCAGGATGGTTGGGTCAGAAATGTAGGAGGGACAGAGAAGATTGTGAACGAAGAGGAACGAGGGGGGACATAGACGGAGATGAGAGAGGCGAGTTCAGGTGGAGCGAGGCCATGGAGAGATGTCGAGACGAGTGTAAAGGTATTCTAGCAGACAGCGGTAGAGTTAACGACAAGCCAGTGGAGTTGACGGAGGAGAGGCCAAGTGTGAGAATTAAATGGGAGATTGAAAATAACTCATGCACAGGCTTTTTTTATTTGTTGGAAGGGAGTGAAGGCAGAGGCAGGGAGACCAAAAATAAGATAATTTGTAAGGCCGAGCTGCATGTCCGAGTGATTTCATGTTCAGATAAGCATTGAGGGGGTGCTTACCTCCTGGTCACAGCCGCACCTCCGATCAGCTCAGTTGACCAAGTACGGTAAGAAATAAGTTCAACATACATACATACAGCCCTGAGCTAGAGGGGGAATTTCCTTATGGTGGGGATGAATCACCCATAAGACAACTGCTGCTGCCTTTCCCACAAAGTGGTACCAACTGCATCAACTGCAGAGCGATGAGCTGAATCAACCCCGACTATAATTTAAACTCCGATTGTGAGTGCCACGCTCTGTCACCGAGCTACCAAACCAGACGCATATATAGCAGTCCAATCCCAGACATGTAGCAGGCACGTAGCGCTGCGTAGACGCACAACACACACCGTGTGCGATGTGAAGGCTAAGATGAGCGTCTGCTCCAGGTAGGATGTGAGGGTCTCTCCCCCCACAGCACTGACATTCATTCTGGAGCTGCTTTGTGTGGCTACACCACCAATGAGAAAGCTCCATCTCAAGGGTGTGACGTTCAGGTGAAACATATTGATGACTAAAACAAAGTAAAAGATTGGATAGGTGACAAAGCCAGGTGCGCGCACATGGCTGCTCTGTCCCAAGCTCCCGATTCCTCGAGGCGAGTGGCTCTCAACTTGTGGGGAACCCCTCTCCCTGCAGAGAGCATTCACGATTGGGGGCCCCGTCACAGCTCGCACCCCTCAATCACACGTCAATCAAACATCAATCACATGTCAATCACACGTCACACATTGCTCACTCAGGCACGGTGCCATCACTACTCTCGCGTCACGCCAGGGTCTGTAGGGGCGGCCTCCTCCTCTCTTCTCTGCGGCCTCAGCAGGACTCGGCCGGGAACCATAAATATTTAATTCCCGAGGCAGCGGAAGTCAATTAAATATACATCCATAAAGCCCTGCATTGGCACACGCAGACGTTTCCATTATACGTTTTAAACGACCCCTACTCTGCTGCGGCGAGTGGCTCTACAGAAGAGTCCCTCCCTGCCAGTGGGAGTGTGTGGGGTCAGGACATCCCCTGGGAGGTGAGGTACCCCCTGGGAGGTGGGGCACCGCCCTGTGGGGTGGGGTACCCCCATGAATCCCACGCGAGACCCCCGGGCGAACACATCCGCCGTCTCGTGCCACGTGAAATTACCACAGTGGAGGGTTAGGGGGAGCTGACGGCACGGCCAGGGCTCTCATCACCACTCGGAATAAAATATGCTTCCCCCAGCTCCCTGCATTGGCGTTACCGGACACCCAGCAGCAAAACCCGGTCCAGGGCACGGGTTGGATTCCATGGAAAGGACACCCACAGCACTCAGATTTCAGCAGTTTAGTTTTATTAGTATATATTTAAGTGATTTTTTTACCTTCCCTATACTTTGCACTCCTATCGTATTTTGTCTTGTCATTGTAACGTTCTGACTCACCCCTCCTGGACATCTATGAAAAAGAGCTTCATAGATCATTGGATTCCTCCGGTATAAATAAATATTCTGATTCACCGGGAGAGACACCCTGCTTACTGGGAGAGACACCCTGCAATCAGGTTTCTGACTGCAGGCTCCTTACCCTGGCTCTGTGTGGCTCTCTCCACATTCCCACTGCACTCTCCCCATGCGTGCCCAGACTTGTCTACCCCTGGGTGCACAGCTGCCGGCCATAAATATGGGCTCCTGGGCACAGCGCTCACCACAACACACCAACAATAACTCACCAACATATTCACTCACCGACAATAACTCACCAATACACACGTCTTGCACACACACACATACACCCGCGCACGCCAACACGCATGATCACTGTCCACAGCATACACGAAACACACCATCATATACACAAAGACAACAACCGCCATTCGCGGTGATGTCACCACGACCCTTGTGCCAGGCTATGTGCACGTTGAGGCCACGTGAAGTGTTGAACGTCCGCTGGCAGGAGGTCATGGGGCAGACCCAGGTGCCACAGGTCGACTGAATGAGATGACTGGCCGATGCACCACCTGTGCCCCCTACTGTGCCAACTTGCTGTGCTTTAGCCACCCGGCGCTCCGCTCGTTGTTGCGAGCGTCACTCCTCCGCCCTCCGTTGACTGCCTCCATCTGCTTCATAGCGTCTTTCACGAGCCTCCTCCAGAGGCCGATCTTGACACCGCTGGTACCAGTCATAGGCAAGTCCACTCCGCTCCACATCCTCCTGTACCACATTACTCCATCTCTTCTCTAGACCGTGCCGCGCCCGTTTAGCCCCCTCGATCCGGCCGAACAAAAGCTGTTTAGGCATGCGGTGGCTGGGCATGTGGGCTACATGACCCAGCCAACGCAGCCTTGCCTGCCGGAGGAGCTCACCGATGTGACTTTGTCCAGATCTTTCAAGGATTTGTGAGCTCCTCACACAATCCAGCCTGGTTAAACCCAGGATGGATCGTAGGCAGGCCAGCCTAAATGTTTCCAACCGGCGAAGATGCTCCATTAGGGGAGTCCACGTTTCGCAAGCGTAGAGATGGGAGGGAATGACCGTGATCGAGCAAACCTGAAGCTTCATGCAGAGCGACAGACCAGGTAGCTTCCACACAGCGTTACTCAACCGATGAAAAGATAATGCCGCTCGACTGATTCGGAGTGAAACCTCTGCTGTCAAACCGGAGCCGGTCATAAGCACACTGCCCAGGTATGGGAAACTCTCCACTCTCTCCACAACTGCCCCATTACCAATTGGGAGTTGTGGGGGTGGAGTGCCCGATGGTACAAAATACCCAGGCAGGTGCTTTGTTTTGGTGGGGCTGATGGTAAGGCCCCACCTCTTAGTGGCATGCTCCAGGTTCAACAGCAGTGCCTCCAACTCCTACTCTGAGTGAGCGACAATTACCAGACCATCAGCATACATAACGTGGTTGACCAATAGGGAGCCATCCCTTGACTGCACCCGGGCATCGATCAGCCTCCCATTGTATCTGTACCAGATGGAAATTCCTTTGGTAAAGCCATCAAAGGCTTCACGAACTACGTGGTCGAAAAATATGTAAAATAATGTGTGAGCCAGAGGACATCCCTGTCGCACCCCAAGGTGAACAAAGAATGGCTCCGACTCCCGGCCACGTAGTTTTACCCGGGCCCGCTCACCATCATGAAGGTCCTTAATGATCGTGAGCAGAGGGTCAGGGACTCTGAAAGCACGAAGAATAACCAAGAGCCCAGACTTACTGATGGTATCATAGGCCTTGACCAGGTCAATAAAGCAGAGATGTCGGTCTTGTTGCAATTTCCTACAAAACTGCTGTAGCAGACGGACAGAAAATATGGCATCTGTGCATGACTGCCCTTTACTGAAACCTCAGCATGCCTCGCAAGGCGATGTTGAATAATCCTTGCCAGGACCTTACCCGGCACAGTGAGGAGTGAGATGCCCCTGTAGTTGTTACAGTTTGTGCGGTCCCCCTTCTTAAAGAGGGCATTCTTCCAAGCCTGTGGAACCCATCCAGTGGTCCAGACTGTTGTTATGATGTGATGTAGGGCAGTCTGTGCACAAACGCCACCCTCCCTCAGCATTTCACTTGGGAGATCATCTCTGCCCGGTGCTTTTCATGGTCTCAAGACTCTGGATCGACTTTAGTACTTCTTCAACAGATGGCACCTCAGCCAGCCACTCACAGGGGGTGACTTCTTCCAATAATTGAGACACAGCAGCCTCAGCAAGGTCATCCCCACTTTGTCCCACGATGTTTTCCGTGCTGAGGGATTTCCCCTCCCCCAGGACTTCACAGAAATGCTCAGAAAATCTGCAAACCTGTTCCTGGGGGTCGGAAATTGGATCACCGTTTTATCCCCTAATGATGGTAATAAGTGTGGCGCTGCAGGTTACTTTTTTGATGGAGTTAAATAGTGATTTGTGATCATGGGCCATTGAGGCAGACTCCATCTTCTCAGCAACCCGCAACCACCACCCATCCTTGCAGCACCTCACGGCTCTCCGAAGCTCTGAGCGAATGTTGCGGTAAGCCTCCTCATTCTCTGACGTGGGATGCTGTAGATGAAGAGAGTGGGCCTGTCGCTTTTTCTCAGCCAGCCTGAACACCTCCTCTGTCAGCCAGGGTCTCTGGGGAGGTCTGGACTGCGTACCCAAAGTAGCCATCGCAGCTGCATGAGTCACAGTCCTAAACCTCGCCCATTTCCCCTCAAAATCTGGAGGAGTGGGGGACGATGCCAACCCCAGCTGCAAGCGATGATTACATTCTCGCTTGGAACTTTCATCAGCTAGCTGAGACCAGGCCACCTTGGGTTTGAATGGGGTCCTGGGTGTACACCCACCACCAGAGTGTAAGAATGGCAGGTGCATCTTACAGATGAAAATTCGATGGTCAGTGAGCAGATCAGCTCCATGGTAGGTCCTGGTGTCAAGGACATGGGCCCGCATCCGCTGTTCTGTCTCTATGTAGTCCAGCATATGTTCTTGCTTGGACTCGGCATGCATCCATGATGTTGTGTGGATGCGCCGATGCCAGAACAGCGTGTTCGTAATTACAAGCCCATGGGCTGCACAAAAATCTAGCAGCCGCCTCCAGTTGTTATTGAGCTGATCTGGCCATTGCCTTCCAATCACTCCAGACCAGGTGCCAGCATCATGACCAACTCGGGCATTAAAGTCGCCCAACAGGATGACTCTATCCCGAGGGGCCACTTTAGCTAGCACCTGTGACAGGAGGTCATAGAAGGCATCTGACTCATCGGCCTTGCCTGCATCCCTCCACAGATGTTCGTATTCGGTGGGGGCATAAGTAACCACGACCACCACTCCTCGCCTCCGGTTGATGGGAAGGCGAACCCAGAGTAGACTGGGGCTTACCGCTTCCCACACCTCGCCGCCACGCTCCCACGCCCCCTTCATTCTTTTGTTCAGAAGAAGAGCCACTCCCTGTTGTTTAGTAGTCTCCTGCCCCGAGTAGAGGACTATCCACCCCTCATGGTGGCAGGAGCCAGAGCCGGTCCACCGAACCTCCTGAATACCACAGAGATCCAGGCGGGACCAGTCCAGCTCCCGACAGAGGAGTGGCAGCTTCTCCTCCGCAGTGAGCGTTCGAACATTCTACGTGGCCATCCGTAGTGGCTTTTTGTTGTTTCTGGAGGAGCCCCGAGGGTAAAGATTCAATCTCCTGGCTCCGCCAAATGGGGTTTGGTCAGTAGACATCATAGACGCCTGTCCCCTCCGGGGCCTCCGGCACAAGCGTATTAATTAGATATTTTATACGTGGTTTTGTGGTAATTAATTGAAGGTGGAGGGTAACCAGCCCCTCGCACCCATCCAGAGCCCCCATTTAGCTACTGTGGTGGTTACAAATCTCATGAGGGGAATGGTCAATCAAAAACGGCCCTCCCACCATGGCACTGCCCACCACAGCGTTGCCGGCCGGCACCACGAGGAGGTAGGGTTTTTTTTTTTGCCAGACCATCATATACAAATACGAACACACCCACGCACACACCTTCACAAAGATGCCCCGTGTAGCCTACACAGGCTGTTGGGAAAAGTATTGTTAGCGAGTAGCACATATGAAGGCCAATACGGCGCACAAGCGGGTGGGTGACCAGCAACATGCCTGGCCACCTTTCTCTCCCCAGTGAAGATGTTTACACACCACACCAGGTACTCAGGCTGAGTCAACCTAGTGGAGACCCAGGACCCGTTAGAATATTCATCATTGCTGTTGGCGGCCGTGAGTGGGAACACAGACCCCCCCCCACCCCCCCACCAGCGGCTCGCCAAAGCCAACTCCTCAACGCACTTCCCCCCGGGGGAGAGTCACGACAGAGGGGAGAACTTCTCCCTGGGGTGGCCCCCGCACCCCTTCAAGACGGTGAGGCTGCCGCCATGGGGGGTGGGTGCCATGCCGCGTACCGGCACGTGTTGTCGTCGGAGACGCTTGCGAGAAGATGCCCGTCGGTCGGCTCGAACGCCACGGCGTTAACGTATGCGTGGTGTCCCTCGAGCTCCTGCGCAGCACAAGCCGGTCACCACCATCGCATCCCGAGCAACCGGCTACCAAGCACGCCGTTACCGAGCAAGAGTTACCTTACACGCCGTTACAGAGCACGCCGTTAGCAAGCACACGGTTACAGAGCACATGGTTACAGAGCATGGCGTTACCGAGTAATGGTTACCAAGCACGTTGTTACCAAGCACACGGTCAGAGAGTACGCCATTACCGAACGGTTACTGAGCACACCGTTACCGAACGGTTACTGAAGACACCGTTACCAAGCGAACGCTTACAGAGCACACACAGTTACCAAGTGCACACTTACAAAGCACATGATTACCAAAGTCAACGTGATTTCCTGCTCATATGAGCAGTCATTGCCTGTTTGAGACCCTGAGCCAGTGATGAAAAATGGAAATTCCATATATCTATGGTGGGGGCGAGTCTTTCTCTATAGGAAAACCACTGATGGCTTCCCCATAAAGTGGTACAGATTTTATTGATCCCCAAAAAATTATGGGCCGAGTGAACTCCCAATCAGGTTTTGAACCCCTTCCAATTGGAGCCCCTCACTCGACCATGGAGGCACACGGTTACCGAGCCGCGCAGTTGCCGAGCAGCGTTACCTAGGAGCGGGCTGCTCTCACCTGCACCTCCTCGCTCCCCTGCAGGTCCGAGCGGTACACACGGATCTTCTTGTCAGCGGTGGCTGAGCAAAACCTTGAAGCACAAAGATGCGGCAGGTGTGAGCACACGAGCACAAGCGGGTGTGAGGACACAAGCAGGCGTGAGCGCGTGAGCACGAGTGGGTGCGAGTATACAAGCAGGTGTGAGCACCCCGGTATGCGAGCACACGAGCATGAGCAAAACAGGCATCGATACGGACTCCGGCACCAATATGGGCATGCGCATAGGCATAAACGGACACATGAACAAAGACAAAGATCCCCCGTATAGCTTTTAACATATAGCTTTAACCGACTGGAGGGGCAAGTGCTGTTAGCGAGGCCAGCACGGAACATGAGGGGGTGGGTGGCGAACACCACTCCCGGCCGCCTTTGTCTCCTCAGTTGCAATATTTTTTACACATTTCACCAGGTACTCATTTAAGGCTTAGTCGACCTAGGGGAGGCCCAGGAACAATTCAGATAATCGTCACTGGTGTTGGCCGTGAGTCGGAATCGAACTCGGGTTGTCGGGTTGATAGCGCAACGCACTAACCACGACACTACCGGTCCCCACACACACGCGCATGAACACACATAAACATACGCCTGAACACAGGCGTGAGTGTGAGAGCAGTGGTGTGCTGTGCTCGGGTTGAGCCCCCCACTTGGCCATGGTCTCCGTGCGGTGGGGTTGGGGGGGCCCGTGCGAGCATGCATAGTCTCGCTCAGCAGAGCGCCGCCACACAGAGGCGCTGTGGTTGAGCCTATTTTAAACAGCGCGGCGGTGCCAAAATAGCGGCCCGCTAACAGCTCCCATCAGCACAGGGAAGCAAAGGCAGGAGCCCCTCCGTGTCCCCCCTGAACACAACCGCTCTCTTATACTCCCATTTCCCTCCTCTGTGGTCCCCAGGGCAATAACGTCCACAGGACCACGGCTCAGGATGCCGAATTCCAATGAACGAGTCGGGAGGGCATTCACATGGCGATCAATGCAGGAGGATTCCTCACAGCCAAGTGACAGCGGTTACCATTACACTCACGCATTACCTTTACGTTCTTAGTTAGGCAATTATTACGATTATAATTCAGTTAACACAACAAAAACGATAAGTTTTTCTTGAGCATTGATTTAGTGCTCATTTTCCATTTACAACCTTGACCCAGTGGGGAAATTCCACATTCCTATGGCGGGGGTGAGTTTATGCATAAGACAACTGCTGTTGACTTCCCTACAAAGTGGTACTCATTTTATCAACCTCAGAAGTATGATGTTCTGAGTCAACCCCAAACCAGGATGTGAAATCACAACCTTCAGATTGCGGGCCGCTCGCTCTGCCGAGGAGCCAATGCGGCCGTTAATCCTCCGTGGCATTAAGTCAACGACAAGACGCTCTTGACATCCAGGTCGCTCTCACAAAGAGACTCATCCTGGTCTACTGAGTTCTCACCTCGTTCAACAAAATAAGCTTCAAACTTGAAGATATTAAGTCTCCTATATTCCATTCCCTCTTGGTGCAATCGATTTCTCTGTGCAAACCTGCGGAGTTTGCTTGCACTCCACTTGTGCAGCACAAGGCCCGTGCCAAGACGGAGGCAGAATGCCTGTGCGTGCATTTGCCCACACAATACTATGAGTGCGTGTGCATTTGCCCGTGCGTGCATGTGTCGCGTTTTGCCTATGCGTGCGTGCACGCGTGCGTTCGCCTGTACGTGCTTGTGTGCGTGCCTGCTGCAATTGCATTCACCGTCCCAGCAGACAAGTCAAGACCTGGCTTGGCCAACGAGCCCCGGAGTTTCCTGACTCACTGCCAATGTATGTTCTCACTTAGATTCAATTTACAGCTCTCTGGCGCCTTTAAAACGTTACTGCAGAATTTTACAGCTTTTTGTATTTTTCCTCCAGATGAAAAGAAAATCGGAGCTCGATGCAACGTTGGGGAATGTTGGTGGGAATGACTGCACACCGGCTGAGTATGCTGAGGAAGCTTTAAATATTTCTGCAAAACGGTCTCTCCGGCTCCGTCGCTTTGCTCGCCTGCCCGCCCTCAGGCGGCTTTTCCCGGTCGCTATTAGTGCCCACGGCGAAAACCCGCAAGGCCCACGAGACTCGGGGACGGACGCGACGGCTTGGCGGTGCCGGTGGCACGGTGCCATCGTAGGTGTGCTGGCATGATGGGCGGGTCGACAGAGTTCGCTCCTAAATCGCTGACGTTGCAGGTGCTGAGAATGGGGAACTGGCAGTTGCATGGATTTAATAAAACCCATTGAGCAGGGCTCCCCTGGCCATGCCAATCCGGTTCTCACAATGAGGTCATTGTATTGTGGCCACATGGCTCCTGCGGTTGCAGACCGGGACTGGGGAGGACTCTAACGGGGCTCCACTCTGCCGAGCCACGACGACTCAAGTGCCACTCCACCGCGACAGCTGCTGCGGTCTGCGGTGACATCGAGCAAGGCCAACAGCTGCGCGGAGAGCGAGCCGCATACCCCATGGTTAGGACAACTGATTACGCAGCAGTTTCAGCACTCGCGTGAGCAGCTATGTCACCCGCAGGCGCAGCTATCGCTCACAACTGCAGCCGCATCACACCAGTGCAGCTGTGCTGCTGGCATGCACGGCAACCAGCCACGTGCTGCCTCCACGTGCAGTGCTCACGCTCGGCTGCTGGGGCCTCCTTGCCGGCTCCGGCTGGGAACGGCTCAGGAAGACTGCCCAGAACGCCAGTCCCCTGGAATAACACAATGCGTGCAGCCAAGCTGTCTCAATCAATATTTTATCGGTGCTCAGAGAAACGAGCCAAACACAACTCGCCCCACCAAAGCATTTGGTTCAGATTAATTTAATATTCTAAATTATTTTTAAGATGCCATTGCTGCCGAGCCAAAGCCTGTTGATGCGATTGCGGTTGTAACGTTTGCAATATCGTTTAGGGTTTTTTTTGTACAGATGTAATTTGTATAATAACATAACCATTTTGCTGAGGTTGGATGTTGCAATTTCCATTTCACCTCATTAGCACGCTGTCAATGAGATTCCTGCCATCGTAATCTTGAGTGACCCACCCCCTCTGACTGCGACAGTGACCATGATGAGTTGCAGAGGAAGTGAAACGGCCTCCAACCTAAGGGTGCGTGAACACTGGTGTGCAGTGGGACCCTAAAAAGGGCAGTCTTTCAAACGCTCATAACGCTCTGTGTAATAATATTTCACCGATCAACCACCGGTCATTTCTCTTCAGTGGGTGGCAGTAGTGTAAATGGGGCGGCCGTGCGATCAGCGAGCAGCCCACTGGCGGCATGCGTGAAGTGCACGCACGTGGCACGACGCAGCTGCTGTGACACCACGCAGTGAGGTTAATGCCCAAGAGCCAGGGTGCTTGAGATCCGCCGTTTAGAAATTTCACATGGATACACGCGAGCCCAGAACGGGCAGCGGACGCGTTCCACTTGGCCGGCTGTTGTTTGTCCAGGTTTTTTGGGATCTGCGTGCGAGCAGCGCAAATGGGGGTGGGGGGATGGAAGCGGGGCCGACGGCCGAAATGAAGATTTCCTCACGCTCAGCTGGTGGGGTGTGGACTGAATTCATGTGAACGCTACCAGCCCACTCTAGATCCCATGTCACCCCTCCCCCTCCCGGATGTGGGAAGTAGGGCCCTTGCCTGGAACCACAATCCCTCGACCGTATCCCCACAGTGACAGGGCACGGCTCGGTGTGGCGTGCGGAGGATTGCGGGCGCCGGAGTTCATTCCTAAAAATACACGGCTACGATTGCACTTTCTCAGGAAATCTACAGATAAGAGCAGTCTGGGCCAGGAAGCTGTCCGCCCAGATGGAGTGTCAGCCCCACTCCGGATGAGCGCGGTTCCAGCGTGGGAGTGGCAGTCACGGACGCGCCACGCGGCGCCCTCGACCGACAGACGGCTCTGACCTCCGCACGCTCCCCCACCAAGCCTCTCCTTTCCTGGAATCCCAGTGTGGGGCGCAGTGCCTCATCGCACGGGAGCTTTTCACCAGGAAATTGCACCCGCTCGGCTGGTCTCGGCTCACGCTCCCTTTCACTCCCTTCCCGTCCTCAATCCTCACATCCCATGCACCCGCCCTGCCCAATATTCGTCCACTCTGGCTTCCAGCACACCCTTCTCTCGCTCCCCGCACCTCCCTCCACGTCCTGACGGAGGCTTCTTGGCCGAAACATCGACTCTGTTCGTGACGTCGCTTCCCTGCGTCACTATAATTCCCCCGTACGTTTGCGACTATTAAAAAACGCTGACACGGCAGCTGGAAGGCGCACGATTGTTTGCCGAGTTCCATACTGTAAGCACACCTGGTTCAGCTTAGCGGCTGCTTAGCATGCCAGGGAGCACGGGGGCAGGCGAGGGCCCACGGCACCGCTACCCCAACCAAGTGCCACCCGCGCAGGGACTACCACAACCACACGCACCACAGACACACACACCAAGCACACACCGCACACCCCACACACACACGCTACCCACCATCCAAATGAGAACTACCACAACCACACACTAGCCACCACCCAAATGAGAACTGCCCCAACCACACACACACTACCCACCACCCAAATGAGAACTGCCCCATCCACACACGCACTACCCACCACCCAAATGGGAACTACCACAACCACACACACGCTACCCACCACCCAAATGGGAACCACCACAACCACTTGCCATCACCCACCACCCACAAAGGACTTCCACACCCAACCCTCCCAACGGGCCACCCAAACGCCACTGCCGTTGGCCCCAAGGTCGTGCCGCTCGGCCTCCGAGCCTGGGAACCGTGCACACTCGGGGGAGCCACGGCGCGCACCTGCACACCCCCTACCCCCACCAGCGCCACCTGACCCTGCCGACCTCTCCCGCAGGTGCTACGCCACCCGCCACGCGGCCACAACACAGGCCCGGTGGTTGCTAGTGCTGGATAAAAAAATAACACAAGAAAAAAAGTGTTTTCTTTGGAGAAACAAAAGTTTAGTTCGGGCTCCATCGTGTAACAGATGTGTTTGCTTTGAATAAATTAATCACCGG